TTGTAGTGGATATAATACCTATTTTTCTTTTTTTTTTTTTGGTGGTGGGAGTGGGTATGGGAGCAAGTCAAGGAAAATAATCCTGTCAAATTCAGAACTCTTAAACCAACCTCAGAGGTACTATTCAGAACTTCAGAGCAGAGTTTAAATGAGAGAATAAATAAATCCTGAAAGCAAACACAACATGGATTTACCAAAGGCAGGCTACAAAAACTAATTTAATATCTTTATTTGATTAAAAAGAAAATCATTCTTGGGACAGAGGAAGTGTAGCAATCCGGCCTGTCAGAAGTTCAGTTAAGCGTGCAATCCTGTGCCTTGTGAGATATTATTATTAGTTAAGCTTCAGAAGCCAGTGTTTGGTGCAACACCTGTACATGAATAGTCTCTCTAAGAGAGAACACAAAAAGCAGCACTGAATGGACAGCTGGGAGTTCCTCTGCAGGAGGTCATGTTTAGTGTTTGCTTTAATGATTTTTGGCACAGAAGGCAATGGTGTGCAAGTGGAATTTGTGATGAGACAAAACCAGGTGTGGTCAATACAAGGGAGGATCAAAATACCATCCAGGAAGGCCATGAGCACCTTGAGAACAGAAGTGAATTGGATGACATGAAACCTAAGAGTATGAATGGAAGGTCATGCTATTTGGGGCAATAACAGACATTTTGACTCTAATATGGGATAGCATTATTTGGCAATGGCAGAGGAGGAAAGTGCTTAGATAGGTACAAATAAATCACAGAATAATTCAGGCTGCCAGAGTGTTACTGGGGGAAAAAAGACAAATAGAGCTCTGGAAAGACTAGAGGAAAGGAGTTCTTGTCAAGCAAGGGAATTGCCTCTGAGACACTGGTGAGCCTTTTTTCCTAACTCACGAGAAGTAAATCTGGAGTAAATAGGGGCAGAGGGAACTCCTATAATTTTGTGAGATTTCCCAGTTTTCATGGTGTTAAAGAACAATTTGTTTTGGTAGAAGAAAGACGTTGCTTGTTTAACTTGGTGAAATGAAGACTGGGAAGAAATACAGTTTCTCTGTGTGCGTGTGTGTGTTAAGAGTAAGCAGGAGTAAAAACAGCTGTTTGAAATTTAAAGTTGATATAAGAATGACTGGGCATAAAGGAACTGTGAGTAAATCCCCTAAAAAAAAGAAGATGAGGGTGCCCAGCCATCTCTTTTGTTTCAGTATGTGTGAATCCCAAGCGGTTTCAAGCAGAGTGGGACAGTCTGATGATGAAAATTATGCAGCTCTAGAGACAAGGCAATGAAGGTTAAAGACAAAGATAAATTAGCACTGGTGGAGACTGGAAACCCACGGTTGCCAGTGAAGTAGCACTTCTTGCTCTGCTCTGGTTTCTCTACAGGTTTTCGTGGAGAAGTGCTGCTGACGTGCAGAAATACAGAGGATGTAACAGAACTGAGAAAACTCCTTCTGTACAACTTGCTGTTTTTCTTGAATGCATTCCTCATTGACTCACTCTCCCTAATTTAGTGTTCCTGTATTTAAATTGCAGTATGCTTGATAAGACTAATGTTGTCTGAAGCTGAGGCATTCCTCGACTGTAATTGATTACAGACAGGGAGCTTACCTTCCTCCTGGGTTTGTCTCTGAAATATTTGCTTAGGCTTAAAATATTCTACTTGGCTTTTCTTGAAGCGACAGATGATATTTTGTGCTGCTTTGTGGAATTGTCAAGATAAAAAGGATAGGTGGTCTGGGGCTGCTGCATTTGCATAACCCTGAAAGGTGGCTTTAGCTGATGATAAATTCTCATCTAATAACTGTGACCAAGCACTCAGAGCCACTGCCACCTCCCTGGGATAAACAGCCATAACAGTGCTGTCAGAGTAACTCTGCGCTCTCTGCTTTGCTCTCCACTGGAAAAAGCAAACGTCCTCTACCCAGAGACAGCCCCAAAGCACAGGAAATCCTAGCCTGATCCTTGGAGAACAAGAAGGGGTCCGGAGCCTCCTGGGATGTTCCTGTTAGAACTTTCAAAGTTCATTGCTCCAACCATAGGCTCAGGCAAGCAGCCTGTTTGATTCCACAAGTGGAAGCTGCATTGGATGCGAGCAGCAGAGGAGAGAGAGGGCAGAGCCAGTCTGCCAGCTTGCAGCAGTGGTGGTGATATACAGGGACAGGAAGGTGGAGGTGACAGTAAATGCTCCAAACTGCTCCATCACTGTCTTTGAGGTGCAGATTGACAAGAAAGGAGCTGGATTTTTCAGCTGGAACTGTGTGCTATTTGAGGTGTATACACCCTGAAACCTTCTGGTGTTTCGGGTGTATTTTGTTGACTTTTCCTGTCGGAGCAATGGGACTGAGGTGCCTGCTCTCCTGTCAGTTTTGAGAAAACTGCTCTGGCTCTTGTCCCCACTTCCACTGCTAGTGCTGGAATGCAGCTTCCTTGGTCTGACCAGCTCGGTCTGTCAGTGGGATGAGTGAGTCCCTCTCCTGTAATCAGTAACCGGAGCTGGTGTTGAAGACATGCCTCATCCCTCCTGCCCGTGCTGCTGCTGTCGGGCGATGGGGGAGCAGCACTGCACTGAGTGCCCTGATAGTGCTCTTTGGGAGGGATGAAAGTGTGTTCTCACCAGGGAACCTCTTCCTCTGTGGGCTTACATTAACCACAAAACATTGGAGAGTACTGATGTGGACATCACTAAGATCCATGGATCAGGTGGGAGGCTGAATTGCCTTTTGTGTGACTGTCTGCTTGTGAAAAGCAGTTAGTGGCAGTGCCTGGGGTATAAAGCAGCCTGGGTGCTGAACAACCACAGGTTGATAGTTCTTGCTAGCAGCTTTGCAGTGAGTGCTGGAGCCAAACCTAGCTGTAATGTGAGAGACTGCAATTGTATCACCCAAAGTTTTGTTATCTACCTCCTGAACTTAAATTCCTGCTCCACTTGTACTTTTCACAAAGCAGATTTCCTCCTGCCATCAGATAAGGTGCTTGCACATGGCCTGAGGTGGCATTTTAGGTGGTTTGAGTTTGCCTACAAGTGGCTGCCTCCCCAGTTCATCTGTACAAAAAACACAAACACGAACGGTTGTCCTGGCCGAAACCAGTTGGCTTCTCATACAGTGTGATGAGGCTGAAAGGTGTGGAGGAGGGCTCAGATTGTGCTCCTGGTGCTCCAGGCAGGTTTCAACAACAAGCCCAGCCAGATGCGGGTGAATGCACTGAGACTTGGTGTCCCAGGGTGGCCTCTGTGCCTGCAGGCAGTGCTCACCCACACACTCAGTGCCTCTGCCGGGCTGAGCCTTCCTAGCAAAGGGCTGTGCTGGCAGAAGTGACACTGCTGCATGGCAGGGGACAAGCCCAGGGCCCCCAGCTGACATGCCACACGTGGAACTGTTTCCAGCATTTTGGGGGATCCTGGCTCTCTGGCTCCAATGCATGCTCAGCCCTGCTCTCCCAGCCCTCTCTGTGCCACCATCGTTCCCACTGCTGCTTTCCAGAGCTGATGCTTTTTTCCTTTTACAAGCCTTTGTAACCCTTATTCCCAGTGCCACTTGTCAGCTTCTGTTTTTATGTTAGCTGAAGCCAAGCACTGAGTTGTTTGAGGGCAGCATCTTTTCAGTTTAGAGATTGTGCATTATGCATTCCCAAGGTCCCAAAGAGCACCAACACAGTTTTCCATGTGTGGTCCTGTTCCCAGTAGTGGTGTAGCCTTTCCAGTGTTCAGGTAACAGTGTCACTGGAAACAGGAAGTTAAATACTTCTTTGGAACACAGGTTACAAGGCAATACCTGCCTGAAGTTTCGTTAGCAGTTTTAACTGTTGTCATTCCTGTGCACTGAGGGGATGGAAGTGGCTTGTAAATGCACAGTAGGAGCAAGAAAGGTATTTCCAAAATGTTCTGGAGATCTAGAGAGGGACCTTCAGTGCCTTGAACATCTTGACAGCGCGCTGTGTGCATGTCATTCCTGGGCTGTCAGTGCCACACAGCAGTCATGGCTGAGAGCTGCTGGTCCCAGACAGGATAAGCAGGATGACAGGAGGGCCAGATGCACACTGTGCAAGATGTATACAACCAGTGCCTTGCAGGCAAGGTGCCCATGGTTTGACAGTGGGTAAACTGGATTTCAATACCTGTGACAGAGTGCCCTCAGTGTGCTCATGGGGCTGATGCCTTGTTGGTTTGAGGCCATTTCAGGAAGGCTCCTGTAAAGTGATTTTGTCATGGTCCACATTGTGTTTAGAGCTCAGATTACCTGCTGACCAGAGCACAGCGCCAAAATCGTGTACTGTGATTCTTGTCCTGTTGGGAGATTTTGGGGAAAGTTGCTTTTCCCTGTTCTGCCTTGGGCTCCAGGGTGTGGCAAACCACTTCCTGCTTTCATTAAGTGCTTCAATAGTCCCAGCACAGGCGAGTGATGGCAGATGCTGTGATCCCAGCTCAAGGCTGCTGCAAGGAACACATCTGGGGGGGCTGACACCAGCTATAGCAATCGCTGCTCTGAAGTGCCAGCTGTGAGATGTGGCCCTTTCACCCTCACATTGTATCAGTGTAACATGCGATTTCCCCTTGATAGAGCTAGCAGAAGGAAGAGTCAGCTTTGATGGGGATGGTCTTGGGGTGTTTCAGCTGCATGTACCCCCATGCACTGCCATGGCCTGGCAGGGTGCTGTGTGGGGTGGGTACATGTCCTGCCATTGTGTCCTCTGCCAGCTCTGTTCCCTGGCATAGACCATCACCAGTGCTGTGCTGTTGGACTCCTGCGTGCAGTAGTTTGGGAGGGCACATCTGCCCAAGGAACCTGGATTGCCCAGATCACTCCATGCCAAAAAACTTCCCCCAGCCCACGGGGAAACCTTCTACCTCAGGTACACGGGTCTGACCCTGCTGTGTCAGCTTTACATAAAAGAAGGTCCTTGGTGTGCAAGGGCTGTTCTGATCTACAGCAGGATCTGTGTCACTGACAGTCTCCCAAGCATGAGGGACAGGAACATGCTTGGCCAGGGTAGTAGCTGACCAATCTCTCATTTTCTTCCAGTCCTGGACGCACAACATCCAGCGAGAGAAGGAATTTCTGAGAAAGCTGGTGAAAGCCCGAGTCATCACTGACCTAACCAGTGGGATTTGAGTGGCTGCAGCCACTACGTCCAAGGGAGGAGACGAAGACACACTACAGCTCTGGGAGCAGGCACTGGCAGCCCCCTGCAAGAATCCCACCTCACTGAAGACACCCAGAGATGCCCAGGTGCTCTGGGAAGACCCTCTTGCATTGCCAGTCTGCACGAGGGTTACATCTCCCACCTCCAGGCCTAGAGCTGGCAGGAGGTGGGCAAGGGGCTGAGTGGACAGTTCTTGAACTCTGCATTGCAGACAGATCTTCTGTATCCTGAATTAGACAGGAAAGACTCAGGAGAGAGAAGAAAGGTTTGTGAATAAAATGATTAGTGCCAAATGGGAGGTGATGCTGCCCCAAGGCAGCAAAGCCTGAATGTACAAAGTATTATTTTTTAAAAGACTGCTGGAACCATACTAGAAATACCAAGGTACAAGGCAAAGCCTGCTTGCGCACAGCCCTGCGAAAAACCTGGCCTCTTCATGCTCCATCTGCATTGTCACCAGCCTCTGACCTTTCCCCAGGAAAACAAATCCATCCAAAACTTCAATGTCATTGGTGCTGCTACGATTTGAAGGGAGAATAATGGCTTCCTCTCATTCTCCACTTGGAGCTTCTGGATGGAGATGAACATGGGTTTGTTTTTCTGCATTTTTCCTCACATCCTCCACAGAGGCAGCAACAGCAGCCACTGACTTGGCTGTGTTTTCCATAGCCATTTGCTCTGCCTCTGCCCTGACCCCGAGGTGGGAGCCGGTGGCTTTCTCCACCTACAGCAGACCCTCCCCACCTTCCTGCCTGTCACGATGCAGAGGGGCTTGCCCCATTGTGCTCAAGGCTTTCAGGCCTCTTGGTTTGTGCCTGCTGTGCAGGGCCCCTGAAGAGTCCGTGCAGACTTGTGTCACTGTTTCTGGACAGCATCTCGCTTTGGTTTTGTGTGGGAGGGGAGTAATTTATTCTTTGCAAGGAGGTCAGATCTTGAGCAGAGATCTCAAGCTTTACAGTTTGAGAGCAGACTGCTGAAGATGTTTTACGTTCCAGACTCAATCATGTTCCCTATTTAAGCGACGTGTGACCTCAATGATGATGGAACCTGATGGGAACTCTCACCCTCTGCTTGGCCCCTGCTCACTCCATTTCCAAGCTCCTCCCATGCTGCTCTAGCACTGCTGCTCCTCCTGCTCTCAGGAGCACGTCCTTCCTTTGCCCACTTGGTCCCAAGATGCACTATTTGCACATTTGATTTGTACACGTATTTCAGAGGAGCTGGAATAAACTGATCAATGTGGCCAAGTGCAAGGGCAGCAGGGTGGTCTCATCCACCTGAAGAGCATGGGCAGGAGGGAGGTTGCCAAGGGAATGAGCAGCTACATGTGGAAAGTGGCTCCTGTGCTCTCCTAGCCTGGAGCAGGCTGGAGTGCACCCACAGGCACTGGTGTCAAGGCACTGGTACACAGCCAGCCGGTGCTGGGGTCAGTGGAGGGGGACCCCAGAGGGGTGTGGGCTGGGCTCAGGGTCCTGGCACTGTGTCTGACACAGCCCAGGGATTGCTCTGGACTGAAGGGAGCATGACCTGGCATGGGCAAGGAATGCTCAGAACAAGGCTCACATGTCCCCCTAGAGCAGCTCTGCAGCTGCTGACTTGCAGGGACTGTGGCTTTGGACCTGAGACCTTCAAGGGGGTGTGCAGGAGGGGCAGGCAGTGACCCAGGCGTGGGGCAGACCAGCAAATTGTACAGAATGGTTTGAGACCAGGCTGCAGGCAGAGGCAGCTCCCAGGACATGGCACTGTCTGCTGCTTACAGACTGGTGTGGGATGCCTCCCTCAGGAGCAGGCAGGGTAGCCAAGGAGCTTGCTCAGGGGCAAGTCCTGCCCAGCTTCTTGTAGTGGCTGCTGTTTCCCTTGTCATCTAGCAGCTCAGAGATCCTGCTGCTTTTGGGCTGCAGAAGGCATGCTGGGAGGCTCTCCTTCCCTTTACCCTTCCCATATCCCATCCCCACTGCTCTGGCCTTCCAGCCAGGCAGTCCCTGTTCCCCCAGGGACATGCCTCCTTTCAGAGTGCTCTGAGGTTTGCAGCCTGTTTTTGAGCATATGCTGTGGCAGATACTCCTTTTAAGTATCTCCTATTTTGGTTTTCCTTCTTGAGGACTCCATGGGACTGAATTTCCATGGCTCTCACCAGCTAACTCTCCCTTTGCAGTTCCTGGGTGTCAGCCTGGAACCGGGACCATCTTCTGTTGAGTCCCAGCCGTGCTGGCAGTGGGAATGCTTGGTCTGGTCTGGCTGAGGTTGTGGCTGGGAAGGGTTGACATCCACTCTCTCTCTTGCTGCTTTAACCAGCTGCCATGAGAGCCCTAGGGCTGTATCCATGGGCTGCAGTGAGCTGAGATGGCAGAGTGGGCAGCTGCATCCCGAGGGAGGAGGGAAGAGCCTTTGGTGTCTCTGCTGGGACTCCCACAGAGGATTGTTTAATTGATTTATTGAACACTACAAAGCTCCAGGACACTTTTATCTTCCAACTCATTGGTCCAGGTCCAAGGACACAGCATGGCCACTGCTCAGCCTTCCCTGTCATCCCAGCTCTCTACCACAGCCATGAACAGGTCCTGATGGGAAGTTTCCCCTACAGACCGGAGAGGTGTCTCCAAGCCCTTCCTTCCACCTTGACAGAGGTCTCCAGGCAGAAGAGTCCAAGTTGAAGAGATGAGTGCATGGCCCAGAGTGACTGCAGTGGGTCAGGACCACCTGCATGTAGAAGGAAAAAGCATTTGGGGACCAAGACTCTCCTCTAGCTCACTGGCACCACAGAGCAGCCCATGACAAGGTGACAGGACTCCAGCTCCAGGAGCAGTGCACAGCACTGGGTTTTGCTCCTGGGTGTCGTTCTTTTGGCTGCCTCCCCCCGTGCACCTGCAGCCACCTCCCGCCGTGAAACGACTGCAGCTCGGAGCAGTGCACGCGGGTCAGAGCAGGGTCAGTGGGACGGATGTGAGTCTTGGCCTCTCCCTCGCAGTGACTCACCTTGTCAGATCGGAAGGGAGAGCCCAGGGGAATTCTCCACAGCCTAAATATAGAGCGGGGTTGCCTGGTGCCTCTGATGCGCTTTGGTGCAGAAAGGCCACTCGGGTGGCAGGGAACCTGCCTGGAGACAGCCCAGGGAAACACAGGGAGATCAGGGGCCAGTGACCACAGTGGGTTTTGCTCCAGCTAGTGCAGAGAGCAGGTCTGGGGAGCTGCAGGGCAGCCTGCATGTGCTGCTCTGGAGGACAGGAGGTGCCGGAGAGCTGTTGCTGCTGTGCTGACCACGCCATGAGCTGCTTATGCATTTGTGTCAGTGCCCACCACGCTGGCATTGGGCTCCCACCACCAGCTCACCCTGTTAGGCCTGGTTGTGCTGTGGCCTCGAGCTCACACGTGCCAAAGGTAAGCACCATGGCCAGGTACATGAGGCAGCAGTGGGATCCAGCCCAGCATTCCTCATCCCAGCAGCTCTGGGCTTCCAGTGTCTCCTTGCTTGGAGGGAGAAGTGGAGAGGCCCTGCCTGGCCATGCTGTGCTACCCCTCAGTGTGAGCACTGCTGGGAGCAGGGGAAGGTGTCAGGACAGGGCTGTCTGTGTCAAATGGATGCAGTTGGGCTGGGCGTGGGCAGAACTGGACATGGGCAAGAGCTTCCAGAGTGTTTGGCAGGGAGGCAGCCACCACGCCGAGCTCCGTGGGCACCAGTGTGGCGTGTGCTCTCGGTCTGAGCGTGTGTCACTCGCAGTATTAGAGACGTGTCCTTCAGTGCAGGAGCCCCTCTGGGGCCACAGCCCAGCCCCTCTGGGCTCTGGCTCCTTGCACAGCCTGCACAGGATCTTGAAAAGGCCAGTGCATTCGCCGGTACTGTACCAAGCCAAGATGCAAGAACTCAATGAGTTTTTAAAATTAGTTTTAGTTTCTGCATTTTTTTTTAATTTTCCCTCTAGGCAGGGAGGGTAAGAGTCTTGCAGGCTCCTCCAAGCCGGCTTATGTCACGTCAATTCAGTCATATCACAGAAGCAATAAAGCTATCAAACAAGCTTGGCTGGCCTCTTTCTTCTGCTGCCTCGGGCCTTTTTTATGGGAGGCAGAGGGATTCCCCTGGTTGGGCTGTCCCCTGCCTGGTTTCACTGCTGACTCCTCTAGAACAGTAATCCAGCTGCCAGGAGTTGCAGCTGGCCAGTGCCACTGGCCTGGTGCTGGGAACAGGAGAGGGCTGTGCTCCTCCTTTCAGGTGACTTTGAGGGGTGGGAGAGGGGATTGCAGGTTGGGTTCATTTAGTGCCTTCCATTTAATGTTGGAAGGCACAGGCCTTGTCCTGCCTGTTAGAGCTTGGTCCTGCCTGTGACAAGCTGCCTGTGACTATGAGTGCTCTCCTGGGGACTCCCTGCCAGCAGGATGTCTTCCTGCCAAGGGTCACAGCAGCAATTGGGCTGGGTGCGGCCCTGACAAAGGCAGGTGTCCAGCCAAGTGACCTTCTCACCACAGTGTCCTGGAAAAGGAAATGGTTTAGGAAGCCAGGGACCGAGGCTGTGTCCAGCTCTCATACCTGCCAAATCCGAGCTGGAAGAGCGTAACCCCTTAGGCAAGCCCTGGTGATGCAACCAGGCTCCCAGAGCCACAGGATATGTTGGAGACAGTTCCATCGCTTGGAGGCACGGGAAGGCTACTTCCAGGTAAGTGACTGGTCTGCAGACCTCCCACCCTAAACAAGGGGTGGGTTGTTGCTAGCACCAATGGGGCACCAGAGAAGCAACTGCCCAGCCCTCCCTGGTGCATGGTTGCAAGTTTCAAGGAGATGCTGGAGCAGCTTAAATCTTCCTTCCATCCCTCCTCTTTTCCTGGCATTTAAAGAGCAGAGCCACCACTGCCATCCAGGTGAGCCAGCCCCAGGGATGGCCCGTGCCCTGTCTTGGCTGTGGGAGGGCAGAGCAAGAAAAGAGCACAGAGCTTGGGACCAGGGCACACAAGGATATTCAGGTCAGCTGAGACAAAGAGACTTGTTCAGAGATATCCCTGAAAGAGCCACGTCACTGCTGAGATGGGACGCAGCCTGCGTCACAGCTCTCTCCCACGTATGTTTTGTCACCCCCAGCCATGGCCTCGGACAGCAGTCACAACGTGCTCAGTCCTGCCATCTGGCTGGTCTGCATCACCCCGTCCTGCCACACGCAAGGGTGGCACCTTTAGGGACAGATGTCACAGCAGGTTCTGGCTCGGCTCAGCAGGGCTTATTCCAGACCAGACAAGGCACCTGGGGGCACCCCAGCCCCAGGGGTGCAGGAGCACGGGCTGGCACAGGCAGTGCTCTGGGAGGTACCAAGCCAGGCAGTGCCAGCAGCAGTCAGGGAGCAGGCCACCCCTCTGTCTGTGGGGGCTGGAACCCTGCACTGCACCCCAGCAGCCTGTGCAGCCTGAGCCATGCCCAGCACGCTCCAGGATAGAGCCAGTACTCATGGGAGCCCAAGAGGGGAGAGCAGTGCTAGGATTGAGGCACATAGCTGGGATATACCATCCCCTGCCACCATGGCTGTGGGAGGACAGGGAGGAGGTGCTGCTGGTAGGACATCAGTGGGGCTGACAGCAGCTGCAGGCTTATATCTCCCAGGACAAGAAGGGCAGAGGAGGGAGCCAGTGCCTCCAGGTGTCTGGGATAGCAGCCTCGAAGGGGGTACACCTGGAAGAGAACTGAAGCCAGGCTTTGCAGAGGCACCCCTTCCACATGATCAGGGACACTGTGGGCTCTCCTGTATGGGTCCCCTGGATACCCTGTGCCATGCCCCACATAGCTCCCTGCATAGGACCAGGCATCACATCCTCGGGACTTCCTGGCTGTGTCCTGGGGACATGAAGACTAGGGAAGAGGATGTCGTAACCCCTCTGCTAAGCCAGCACCTGAGGCTGTCTCCAAGCCCTGAGGGTTATCAGTGGGGGAGGCAGCCCTTCCCTTCATTGGCAGCCCTCTCTTCCTGGGCAGCTTCCCTAGTATGGGCAAGGCTGTGGCTAGACCCAGCTCTATGGGGACAGCCAGGCAACCTGGAACAGGACATGCCACTCACATTGAAATTTTCCAAGCAGGCAGCTGTATTAGTCTGTAGCCCTGCAAAGCAGAGGATCCTGTTCCCTATTACTCGCTCCCAGCTATTTCTCTACAGCAGGGATGCACCAGGGCCTCCAAAACTTTGCTGGGCCGAGGTCATCCACGGGCACTGCCTCCGATGCCAGTGAGGACATCTCAGATGGGAGCAGCCCCGGGCCGTGGAGCACCAGTCCCACGGCAGAGCCCGTGCTCCCACGAAGTCCCACTAGCAGTCAGGGGGCCACCCATAGCCACAGACTAGGTCAAGGTGCTTGTGCCAGGACAGGAGTGGGGGTGAAAGGGGGGAGCCACACGCTGCCGCGCTGCAGGGCAGGTGAAACAGCGGCTCCGGGCCGCGTGCCACCTCCGCTGTCCCTGCTCGCGGTGGCAGGGACGGCTTAGCGCCTGTGCCCACACACTCCCTGGCAGGTGATGTCGCAGGAGGACGCGGGAGTTGTCACCCCCGCGCTGGATAATCCGAGGAGATGAGAGCAGGCGAGGCGGCGGCTCCGCAGGTGGCTGCGGGAGCGGCCATCCGACCCTTCCGCAGGACCGCGGAGCCCAGGCCGCCGGGCGGCGGGGACGGAGGCGAAAGCCACGCGGGCGGCCCGGGGTCGGAGCGACCTGGGCGTGCAGCCGTGGCACAGCCGGCGACCGAGCCGCTGGCCCCGCTCCAGCCAGGGAGTTGCATAAGCCCGGGGAGCAGCGCCGAGGCGGCGGAGCGCCGCCGGGGCAGGTGACACGGCCGGCGGCACAGCGGGGCGCGCAGCCCGCCCGGGCGCCCCCGGACCCCGCAGCCATGAGGGCCGGTCCCGGGAGGCTCGCCCGGCCCGGGGCGCGTCCCGGCGATCAGCTCCGGCCAGGGGAACACGTGTGAAGCGGGGCAGAGCGGAGGCGGCCCCGGGATTTGGCACGTTCGCAAGGAGCACTCGAGAGCCCCGGGATGGACGCGGAGGGCCCCGGGCGGTGACGTAAGGACTGCACGGGCTCGGCTCGGCTCGCCAGCCGGCCCCCATGTCCCCGGGGCCAGCGGCGGCCCCGGCGGAGGGAGGCAGGGCGGCGGCAGAGGTAAGGAGCCCGGTGGCGGGCGGCCCAGCCGAGGAGGACCGTGGCACGGGGCGCGGGCGGGCGGGAGGCCGGACTCCTCCTCCGGCGCGGCCGGACGCGAGCGCCAGGCACACCGGTGACCCGAGTCAGCCCGGGATGCTGGGGACGCCGGCCGGCCCCGCCGCTGCCGGGAGCTGCCGGGATGGCCCTGACCCTGCCCGACAACCCATCCCCGCCGGATTCCCCCGTGTGCAAGGGGTCCCCCGCGGGGCTCTGCCCTCCGACGCGGGGCGAAGGGTCCCCGTGGGGTTCTGCTGCCGGAGCGCTCCGGGAAGGGCTGAACCCTTTCCCGAAGGTGTCCGTGCGTCCATCCTGGTAGCGTTGTGATCGGGCTGTCGGGGCAGGAAGCCCCGATCACGGGGCGTCCGTCCGTCCAGGCTGCGGGTCCGCCTGCCCGGGGGTCGGCCGACGGGCAGGTGGCGGTAGCGGGGATCGGCTGCCTCCGGGGGTCCCGGTGCTGTTCCCGGCGGGGTGCGAGTTTCCGCGGGAGCTCGGAGGCGGTGCGGATCACGGCGAGAGCCGGTGCTGAAGCGTGTTGGGCTGCGGCTCCTGCTGCTGGCGGGATTCCGGTGCCATCCTGATCCCGGTGCGGTCCAGGCGCCCGTGCGGGTCGGAGTCCCGGTGCCACTACGTGCGGATCGGGGTGCCGGTTGGCATCCTGGTGCCAGTGTGAGTCGGGGTCCCGGTGCCGGTGCCCGCCCCGCCGGTCAGGTGACGGTGGCTGGAATTTGACACCGGTAGCGACGACGGGAGCGGGATGGAGCCGCCGGTGCCCCGCACTGCGCGTCCGCCTGACGCCGCCGCCACCGCACCCCGAGACGCAGCGGGAGCGGCACCGGGAGCAGCGGCGGGAGTCGGTGCCGGCGGGGCAGCGCCGGCCCCCGCCAGCGCCCCGCCCCGGCGCAGCGGCGGCGGGCGGCGGGGGCGGCGGGGAGCGGAGGCGATGCGGGGCAGCGGCGGCCCGGGGGATGGTCCCCACCGCGGGCACGGTGAGTGCGAGCCGGGGTGGCGGGCGACAGCGCCCGCCCCAGCCTGCTGGCGGCCCCGACTCTCGGCGGAGGCTCATACCGGGACTACCGGGGGGACGAGAGGAACCCGCTTCGCCACCCACCTCCCGGCAATACTCGCGGGTCGGTGAGGGGTCTCGGGCCGCCTCCGGGCAAGTCCCCCCCGTTTGGCTACCGGGGTGCCGAGCCCGACCCGGCGGCGGGAAGCGCTGGGGGCCGCGGCGGGGCCGGGGTTCCCTGCCGGGGCGGGGACAGGCGGCACCCCGCTGCGGGCGCCCGAGGGGCACCGGGACGGACTCTCCCGCCTCTTCCCTGGGCTCCCGCCCGGCCCGTTGGACACGTCGGACAGGTGTGCTCCCCGGGCGGTGGGCAGACGAGAGGCAAGGGGCGGGTTACTCTATGCCCCCCGGCTCTGCTGTCCCTGAGTTGGGGCCGAGTCTGGTCTCTGCCCTGTGTCCCGTGTGTCCGGGCCCAGTCTTCTAAGGCTTTGCGGGACGGGTGCCCGCTTCTCATACGTGGGATTGATTCCTCACCCCCGTCACTTCTTCTACCACGGATGCAGGGCTGACAGGGATGCAGGGTCTCCGCCGATGCCCGCAGGTGCCCGAAGGGGTCTCTGGGCATCCCCCGTGCTTCCAGGTGGGACCCGCGGCTGCAGGGCTGACACAGCTACTCCGAGAGCCGAGACACTCACCGCGGGCGTGGGGCACCCGCTAGACCCGCGTGGATGCACTTCGCGAGTGTCTGCTGCCTCTCCCGGGGGTCTGGCACAGCCACGGGACATCCTCCCCCAGCGGCCCCTGCACAGGGCAGGCAGCGGGGCTCTCGCCGGGCTCTGCACGAGTGAGTGTGAGGTGGCTTGCTCAGGGATTGCATCAATATTGCTGTTGTTTAGCCCCGGGCGGGGGACTCATGTGGTGGGGTCCAGACAGGTGCTCACATGGATGGGCTCAGTTCCGACCCTGGGGAAAAAGCCCTCCTATGTCTATGAATCGCCCGGCAGGGCTCTGGCAGCCGTGTCTGCGGCAGATCCAGCCAGACTTCCCCGTACGGGACATGGGGATCTGCAGTGGGGTGTGCAGGTCTGTGCCCAGGTGCTCGGCTCAGCCCTGCCCTCGCTGGACGAAGCAGATGCCGAGCGGGGCTGCGGGGCCAGGGTGGGCTGCGGTCCTGCGCGCTCGAGGAGCTGCCCCGTGGACGGGGCCCCGAGTCTGAGGAGGCACTGGTTGTGTTAGTCCGTCGCTTCGGCTCCGGGCTCCCGGTGGCGAAGGGAGGCTGCCCTCGTTCGGCGCCCCGCCGGCAGCGCTGCCGCTGCGGAGACCGGGGCCGTGCTGCCGCCGGACGGGAGAAGCCTGAATTGCACCGGCTGATGCGTCCCGTCCGTCCCGTCCCGTCCCGTCCCGTCCCGTCCCGTCCCGTCCCGTCCCGTCCCCTGTCCCCTTCCTATCCCGGGGCGGCCGGTCGCGGAAGCGAGGACGGGGCAGTCCGTCCCTTTCCAGCAGGGCGCAGGGACCCTCGCCTGCCCCTCCGGCGGTGCCGGCCTGGGAAATCCGTGACCTGGCGGCAGCGGCTGGCGTGGGGCCACCGACCTCCACGGGAGCGAAGTGCAGCGTGGGCTGTGTTTGGCCAGGCTGTGGCGGCTGGTGCGGCCGAGGGGCCGGTGCGAGCCCTGCCGGCACCGGGGGCGATCCCGCCTGTGCACGGCCCCTAGAGGGGACACATGGGCCTGGCAGCGCCCACTACAGACCCATGTCACAGGGTGGGCAGTGCTGGGTGGCATCAGATTGCACAACTGGGACTTGCGGACCATCCCCTGGGATGCTAGAGGGACTGGAAGAAATTGAGTGCTCTCCTCAGCATGTCCCCATCCCCTGTTGCTTCCTTTGCCATGGAAGCAACTGGGACATGCTGGGGCAAAGCCAAAGTCATAGAGCGGATGGAGGAACTCCTGAATGCAGAATGTTACTAAGCTCCAAGGGGACAGTCCCATCCTGAGACATAGAATATGCAGCAGGTGGGACAAGGAAGCTACAGTCCCTTTTGGAACCACTTCTAAAGCCCTTCAAAGCCAGGGTATCCTAGCTTTGGACACTGGGGCACCCCTGCATTGCAGGGGGGGAACTGGGGAAGGAGGCAAAGATGTGGCTGCAGACGGGGAGTTGCCCCAGTACCTCCTGAGAAACATCACTCCTGTGAGACCATGCTTGCTGCTTCGCTGGGATCATGCACAGGAGGGATGCAGTGCCTTTGTGCCTTTCTGTGTGCCAAGCTGTGGTGTTGGGGTGAATGACTCAGTGAGCCCGGCATGGTGCTCCATACCCTGCTATGTCCCCAAAGGACCTGCCTGAGCATCCTGCCCCTTGCAGTCCCACTCATCCAGGCTGCTTGGGGGTTGCGTGTCCCAGCTTGGTGCAGGCAGCAGCCTGGGGAGCCAGCGCGGGGCCAAGGGGTGGCTGCACCCAAGGACCCTGTGCTAATGGTTTTGGAGTTTCCAAGGTCAGGCTCCCACTGTGACCAAGAAAAACATTCCCAGGGAAGGGCCATGGGAAAAGGCCCCCCCGTGCAGCACTCCCAGCCCCAGCCGCTGCCTCACAGCCCAGCCTGGCATCCCAGGCTGTTCACACAAGGACATGGCTGCATTGTCCCTGAGGAGACGTGCTGTATAAAGGCTGGGTTGCCCAAGCTGCCCAATCTCTTGGAAGGGGTGTTCGGTGTGGTGAGGATGCCTGGTTATGCCAGGAGAGGAGAGGGGTAGGGGTGGGCCATGAATGGGGTGCAGGAAGTGTTGTGAGGTTCTGGAGGGTGAGGGAGGGGGTGGCATGCTTGGCTAGGGCAGGGAGGCATGTGCCAGCTCCCAGCCAGCCAGCTCTATACCTGCCCTGTGTGGGCCCTGACCCCAACCTCTGTATTTGCAGCTAGCATGGACCAGCAACAGGCGCCACCAGAGCGAAGGCCTGCAGGACCTGCCACACACCTGCAGCCCAAGGTGAGCCCAGGTCTGTCTGGCTGCAATGGCCAGGACTACATGACCCCATCCTCACCCATCCCCAGCTCGTGGAGCCTCATTCCTGGTGTGGGGACCCTGGTCGGGGCTGACCCTGCTGTGCTGTGATTCGTTGCAGGAGGGGACACTGTGGGGACTCTTTGCCATCCTGTCACTGCTGGCTGGGCTGGCCACAGGCACCCTGCGAACACCACACTGCAACGAGACGCTGGACGCAGCCCCCACGCCACGGGGCATGGCCACTGCCAGCCTGTCTGTGGAGGATGGTGTGGAGGCACCGCTTGCCGCTGCCTGGAGCCAGCTGTACGGTGCGTTTTGGGGCAGGCCTCCCACCTGGGCATGGTAATCCTGTGTATGGGGCATGGGCTGGTTGGGAGCTACTGTGGGGAGCCCCAGCCTGTGTGGGGCTGTGGCTGCACTATGGGGCTGAGCTGAGGGGATCTCAATACATGGGGCCCTAAGCGTCATGCTGGGCATGTGGCAGAGCCCTAGAAATTAGAAGATGAGAAGATTCTTGGCTGGAAGGATCTTCCCACACACTCATGCATCCTCTCAGGCACCAGCCATTGCCATGGTGGGTGATCAGGAGGGATCCGTAGGTCACAGCGGGGACCGGCAGGCTCAGAAGAGGGGTGGTGGGTGCAGGATAGCTCATGACAGCACCATCTCCTCCATGTGCAGGGGACAACGCGACAACAGGTAGCCCAGGCACCACCGAGCTGGCAGAGGACCTGCTGCTGCGCGCTGAGCGCTCACCGCCAGGTGCCAGCAAAGCCAAAAAGGCGGGGGGGAAACCCCCACGGCGCACCCGTGGGCGAAACTGCCACATCCGCAACCTGATGGTGAAGGTACGGGACCTGGGCCTGGGCTTCAACTCGGACGAGATTGTGCTCTTCAAGTACTGCAGCGGGTCCTGCCACCGGGCACGCAGCAACTATGACCTGACGCTGGGCAGCCTGCTGCGGCAGCAGCTCATCGCCCCGGGGCCACAGGAGCGGGTCCTCAGCCACCCCTGCTGCCGACCCACCCGCTATGAGGCTGTCTCCTTCATGGATGTGGAGAACACATGGCAGACAGTGGAGAAGCTCTCAGCAGCTGAGTGCAGCTGTATTGGCTGAGGAAGGGGCTGCTGGCTTGGCCCCAGCTCGACACATGCCGACAGACTCCAGCTTGCCACGTGCAGTGGCACTGTTGCTCAGAACAAGGGTTTGCAGAGGCTGCTGCCCCTGTTATTACGTGGCCACAAAGAACCGAGGTGAGATGGAGTCATGACTGGGGTGTGGGTGGCCAAGCCCGCTCCTGCTCAGTGCCAAGCAGCTGGTGCCAGCAGCTACATGGGGTCCTGCCCAGGTGCACTGGCTCGCAAGCTGAAGAGAGTATGGACCATCCCCACCACTCCCAAGGGTCTGCCAACCCGGTGTCCATCAGCAGCACTCCTGCTCCTGCGCTCCAGGGGACAAGCATCACCCAAGCTTCAGAGGGGGCAAAACCTCCCTGTCCCCTCGGGCACTGTGGGGTCAGTGGTGCAGAGAAGGGGTGTCCCTGAGGGCAGGGATGCAGTGGGGCCAATTTGCATCAGAGTGGAGTGGGGGGATCTGCACCCGGACCAGCAGCAGCCCCTGGTATCTGCAGGGTGTTCAGTCATAGACACCCATTGGGACCCCCACGCCTGTCTGGTTCCCAGGGTAGTGGCAGGGTCCCCCCGCTGCTCCGTGGTGCTGTGGCACTAAACTATTTATTACTCTAAATTATTTATTTATTGTTCTCGAGCGGCAGCTCCTATTTATGACTTTGGGCCCCCAGCGGCCGGGTGTAATTTAACCCCAGCGCTGCACTGAAGCCCTGGGCAGCGCCCCGTGCACCCCGCACCCTTTTTCTATTATTTGTAAAATTTGAGGGATAAACTCTATTTTTGTACAGTCGCCTTTTCCTGTAGCAATAAAGCGATGGGCTGCGCGTCCAACCCCTGCGTGTGCCCGTGATGGGGACGGGGACGAGGGTGCCCCTGAGGCGGCAGCGGGAGGGTGCGGAGCGGCGCCGCGGGCGGCTCCCGGTGCGCGGTGCCGGTGGCGGTGCCGGTGGCGGTGCCGGTGCGCGGTGCCAGTGCGCGGTGCGCGGTGCCGGTGCGCGGTGCGCGGTGCCGGTGCCGGTGCGCGGTGCGCGGTGCCGGTGCCGGTGCGCGGTGCCGGTGCGCGGTGCCGGTGCCCGGCAGGGGACGCGCGCGGGTCGGGACTACCGCTCCCGGCGTGCGGCGCGGCGCTGCGGCAGGTCCTGGGCTGCCCGGCCGCGCCTGCGGGGCCGCGGGGAGAGGCGAGGCGGGGCCGGGGAGAAGCGGAGCGGAGCGGGGCGCTGGGGCTGCTCGGGGAGTCCCGCGGGCGCCTCCCGGCCCGACCGCCGCGCCGAGCCGCGCCGCGCCGCCCCGGTGCCGCCGCCCCCGGCGGGGCGGGGAGGCGGGTCCCGCCGCGATGCGGCTGCCCGTGCGCCGCCGCTGTCGCCCGCCCGCCGCCGCCTCCTGAGCGCCGCCGCAGCCATGGAGCGGAGGGCGGAGGCGCCGCCGCCGCAGGGCCTCGACTTCACCGTGGAGAACGTGGAGAAGGTGAGCGAACGCCGCCGGGCCAGCCCGCCGGTGGCCGTGGCGGGGCGGGGCGGGGGGCTCGGCGGCGGGATGCTGAGGCTGCCGCGGTGCTGCGGCGGATGCGGCTCGGGGAGCGGGGGGGCACCTGCTCGGCGGGGCCGGGCTCCGGTGCCTGCCCGCCCTGCCGCTGCTGGGCTCCGGGACGAGGGGCTGGAGGGGGAGCCGCCGGGACAGCCCGGCAGGGAAAATGATGTGGCAGGAATGGGAGCAGAAGGGAGGGGTTGTGTGTGTTTCTGACTGGCGTCCTCTCGGTCGCCAGCTGCAGCGCTGGGCAGGGCGAGCCCGCGGGTCTGGTCCTGGCTACTGAACCAGCTGCATCAATGTGAAGCCCATTTTCAGTGTCTCCATCTGGCAGGGAAGGAAGGAACTTTTGCCAGGTGCTGGGAATTAGTGGCTATTACGGTTGGGAAAAGCCTTCAGTGCCTGGATGGCCCACTGATACCTTTCTAAACCAGGAATCCAGCCCCTTTGCTCCTGCTGAAGTTCAAGGTCTTTCAAAATATCTACAGGGCAGCAGGAGTGAGGCTGATTGCTGACATTTGGGATCCAGGGAATGGCTACGGTGAAGGAAGGCCTGCTGGCATCACACTGCTGCTGGGATCACCTCTGAATGTGTGACCTGATGTGTGACCTGGGGTTCATCACAGAGACTAAAAAGGGCACCTCAGTGGGCACACCCAGGAGGGCAGCTGGGCAAAAACCTTCCCTTGGTCACCTTGAAGGTGATGGGGGCAGGGCAGCAGAGGATGCATCCCTGAAGGGCAAACAGCAGGTGCATCACTCTTCCACTTACCCTGTAGCCAGACATCCAACAGACATTCCTAGCTTGGTCCTCAGACAGTTAGTGGGAATCCCAGAGTGTCCTCATTTTTCCTTTATAAGAATAGACTGAGATCCTTGCCAAAGCAATACTCATGGGCGTGCTGGTGGGCACATAGAATCGTGGAATCATTTAGGTTGGAAAAGACCTCTCAGATCATCATGTCCAATAGTTAGTGCAGCCCTGCCAAGCACACCACTAAACCATTTCTGAAAGCTTTTCACACCCATCCCTCCCCAGTAGGTTGCCTGGCCTCACAGGAGATGTCAGGTCAGGGATGTCAGGGTTGTCAGTGGGTGCTGGTTGCCTTTGTGGCTGCAGGTGAGACACAGCCCACCTCTTCCAGGGAGATGGAGACAGAGCACAGCCGGGGGATTAGCTGATGTCTGGAAAATGCTACATTCATGCAACCTTCTGCAGCTTAATCTGCATACATCCAGGGCTGCTGGATGATTTTTCCTCTGACTCCCTTTCTTTTCATCAGACACAAACCGCTCCTTTGTTTGCACCAACAATGAGGCGCACACTTGCCCGGGAAGGGTGGGGGGCAGTGCCAGGGTGGGGGGCACCCGGTGCAGGCTGGGTGAGGTGTGGCTGTGCCGGGAGGCAGCTCATCCTTGCCAAGCTGCTTGGGATTTAGTCTCCAGTGCCTGGGAGGAAGCAGAGATGCCCTCTAGGATGCTTCATCTCCCCTCCCCCAGCCTGCCTCTGCCTCTCCTGATCTCTGCAGGCTTTGCCATCTGAGTAGTGTCCTCTGAAGGTGCAGCTGTGGACTGCAGCTCTGAGCTGTTGGTGGGGGGCAGCAGCACAGTCCCTGAACAGGGGAATAAGCGTGGCATGGGATCAGAAAAAAACACAGAGGTTCAGCAGCTTAGAGCATTCCTGTGTCAGTCCTTTCCAGGAAGGTCTGTGAGGTACAAAGTGAAGGAAAGATGGGCTTTGCTGGGAGCAGGGTTGGTGGGAGGCAGGTGGGTAGAGCCGCTTTGTCAGTGGTGATGCTGACAGATGAGTGATGCTCCTACTGGCCTGGGTTCTTCCACCTGCCAGGTTTTGTGCATGGCTCTATTAATAATACTGAATACTGATTTAAGTCAGGGTTTGACTCCACTCTGAGTCAGTCAGTGATAAGTGCTGGGGTTAGGAACAGCTTGAGGAGCTGGTTATCTCATAAGTCAGAGGGCTGAAGCCTTTCCAGGTCCCCTGCAGTGGAGGTCATCATGTGTGGCACTTGTAGCTAGGGCAGTGTGGCGAGATTGTGTCTGTCACACCTTCTGATGGTTTTCATGGAGAAAATTCTGTCCCTGGAAAATCCTTTTGTACCCCTACTGTTGTTTATTTTGCAGTGGGGTTTTGCAGGGCTCTGGCAGCCTGTGTAGCTGAAAAGGATCATTGCTGTGTTTATGCATAACCAGTGCCAGAGGGAGACGCCTCCAGCTGTGAACAGGGGTTTCAGGGACGAAAGAGGGTGCAGGTGCTGGAGGCAGGGCCAGCTGACAGGTCTAAAACCCTGTGGACAGGTGCCAGGTTCAGGTGTTGCACTTCAGGCACCATCTGAAAGTTGCTCCCTGTATTTTTTTGCTCTGTTTTTCCATAGGAAGCTCTCTTGTGGCACAGGACAGGAGGGGGGCTGCGCTGGAGCTGAGCTGTTTTGATAGGGTTACTGTGTCAGCATCCCCCAGTCCTAGCTGAGAGCTGCTTGTCTGCTTTTTGTTTTCTTCTGAGCCTGACCTAGATGCTGCTCTGGTTTCAGCACAGCTAGAGCTGGCTGGATGGCCACATTGTGCTGGGAGTCCAGCAGCTCCGGACTGGCTCTGCTTCCCCTGCATCTGCTGCTGAGTGGGTCTCTGTTGCTGTGTTTGGAGGGGTTGGAGGGAAGGGAAGGCTGGGAAAGCCAAGGGCTTCAGGCTGTGAGAATGCTTAAGCTTTCATTGCCTAAATGGGGCAATCTGGTTTGTGACCTGCATGTGCTTCTGTGTGCCCAGGAGCTGTCCCTGGTGTGACTGACAGCTTGGTGCTGGGGTGATGATGATGGTGGATTGCAGATGTTTAGTCCACACTGCTCTGTCCATCTCAGAGAAGCAGTGCACAAGTAGGACTTGTTCCCTGCAATATTGGTTTCCCTCAGCACTTAATACTGCAGAACTGGACAGGAGAGGAAGAATGCCAGACCCTTTTCACATGTTCTTAGTGCAGCTGAATCTGCTTCAGCAGTATCGCCCTTTTTGAAACAAGAAAAAAGACAGTGCCATTCCTCCGTGAATTTCCCAAGTGCAGGCTCTCGCCCTCTTTTTTTTGTCTAATTCCTTCCAGGTCTTTCCTCCTGTGTCCTGCCTCTGATCCTCTGGAGTGTTTGTAATATTCGCTGACGTCTTTTCCCCAGCACATTAGCGGTCTGGCATCTCTGGGCCTTCCAGATTGCCGTGTGCCTCTCTGGAGATGCCTGATGAATGCACAGAGTCTCTCTGGCAGGATGGGTAGGCGGGGTGTCATGGAGCTGACATCCGGAGCCTACCGCAATGGGAGAGGGATGGCTTTGATCACTGCTCCTCCGAGATGCTGAGCCTCGGGGATGTGGCAGCTGCTGGGGCTGCCTTCTGCCCAGGAGGATGGGGAGGAGAAATCAACTGCATCTGGTTTCTTTGGAAAGCTATTGCCTGTCTTCAGGAACCTGATCAAGAGAATACTATAGGGTGAGGGAATGGCATCCTCTGTCTGGTAGTGGATCTTGCACTGTGTCCTTAGAGGCAGCCCGCATGTGTGAGATGTGGCAGCCACACCGGGATGGTAAGCTAGGGGCCTTAGGAAGAGACATTCCTCCAGAACTGAGGGAAGCAAGGAGTCACCTTGTTACATGTTTAAGCAAATGTTCTTGCAGAACATTCCAGCCAGAGCCAACCTTGGCTGGACACTTGGCTCCTTCCTGTGGAGTGGTGGTGATGGGATGAGAGGGCAGCGTCTTGTTGTGCAGTGCTGGTCTGAGCTCCACAAGGGCCATTGCTGAAGCCTCATCTCAGCTGTAATGTATTATGGTGCAGGAATGGGTGGGATTGGTGCCTGGGCTCCAGCAGAAATTCCTCTCTCAAATTGCTTGTGTACTCCATCATGGAAGTGGTGGGTAGAAACAAGGGATGGTGGACAGGTATGTTTGGCCCACCCTTGTAACTCATCCTAGGCTTTGCATCTGCGGGGTTTCTCTCTGGTTCTGCTCACCCTTTGCATTTTCAGGCTCCTGCCCACTCTTGCTGGGAGCACATGTGTCCCACAGCCCCTGTCCCTGCTGGGGACCACCCCCTGCTCTGCAGAGGGCTGATGGCAGTGGAGCAGTGGGAGTGATGCCAAAGCTGCTGAGCAGTGTCTGGGCTGCAGCCTATTCTGGACAGCCGAGGACTTGGTGTGGGCAAGCTGGGCTCAAAGAGGGGCTTCAGAGTGGCAGCATCTTTTATTAGGAGAGGGGAGAAAAGCCCTTTTCTTTTGGACTGCTGGCAAAATGTGGGTCCTTGAACAGGAGCAGCATGCCTGACAGCACACGTGAAGCTTTACTTTGCATCCATTTGCTATCCTCGGCAGGCTGCCGCCTTCCCAGGGTGCTGGCTGCTGAGCCTGCCCCACTGGGGCCGGGGGGGCAGCTGCTGCAGGCAGGGGGAGCAGGGATGATGTTCCCTTCACTTGGCAGAGCCAGGGTAATGGCTGTGCTGTTGCAGGCCTGGAGCACTGACGGTGCGAGTGCGTTCAAGTAGAAAGGACAGCAAGAGACTGCAGCGGAGACGTCCCGGGGGTCCTGCTGGAAGGAGGCTGGTGGTTGCCAAGGGGCTGTGGCCACTGCTGCCCCCGCCATGCCGTGGCTGTGGGCACGCTACAAGGAGCAGAGCAGGAATATATTTTGCAGCTTTCTGTTTCCCCAGCTGCGATGCAGACCTCACTCAGGGCTGTACCTGCTGTCAGCTCTGTGTGCTGAAGCAGACTGGCCCTTGGAGGGCGGCTGTCTCCCCATGGAGTCCCCAAAAACAGGAGTTCTGCTCTGGGATGAGAGCCATGTGTCTGAGGCTTGCCTTGTCACCCCATTATGGCATGGACACAACACCTCTCTGCAGGGTACCCCATGTTAGTGTATTTACGCAGTGCAGTGAAGGAGACAGCCTGCTGGCACTGGGCTCCCTGCAGAAGCTCTGAAGGGTGAGAGCTGGGGGCTCTGGGCTTGTAGCAGATCCTCCTCTCTTGCTCTGCCTGGGTGCAGCCTAAGATCAGGTGCCTTTGCTTGCCTGTAACTCTCCTTGGACTGGTCCCATTCCACCTGACAAAGGAACCAGCATAGGATCTCTGACCCACACCTTTTGAGCAGGCTGCCCTGCACCAGAGCCACTTACTTGAGGGGCTGATGTTTCTCCAGTGACTAAAGCCTGACTGAGGCTTTGATCACAGCTTTTTAGAGCAGGGAAGAGCCATCGTAATAAGCTAGAATTACTTTCAGCCAAGCAGAGCTGATGTTGGAGGAGGCTCTTCCCTGGCCAAAGGGCATAGCTGACAGCAAGCTGTTTACCAGCTCTCACATTACAGGTCTAATTGTGGAGAAGGCAGGTCTGGTGTCAGCCACCCTTTCAAACTGGATTGCACAAAGCCTCCCTGTTAGATGTCACCCGATTTCATGCCTTCTGCTTCTCCCTCTTGGCGCTAATGAGTTCCCCTTGTCATCTCCAGTGCTTCCTAATGGGCCCCAGGGTGCTGGCCAGAGTGGTCAGACTAAAGTCCAAGAGCAGCCGATGCTGGTGCCTGGTCTGGCATGAGGGCAGTGGCTCCTTGCTGAGGAGGAGCATGCTGAGTGTTCACATGCCCTTCTGCAGGGCATGGGGTCTTGCAGTCCCCTGCCCCATGCTCTCAGCAGAGGATGGTGCTCAGCTGATGTGTGTGGTAGGCCAGGGAGAGAGCCTAGTCTGCTCCCAGGGGTTTCTTCTGCTGCTTTGAGCTTAGTTAGGATGGGCCCAGTATTTATGCCTTGGAGGTTCTCTGGAAGGGTCTCCCATGTTGTGTAGAGTACTGGATGGGTGTACTGGGCACCACCTGGAGTCCTGCATGCAGGCAGAAACAGCCATGCTTTTTTCAGGAGCCACCACAACTGATTGCCTTCCAGGCAGAGTGCTTGCAAAAGGGGCTGAGCTAGTGAGCAGATGCTTTTTTCCAGAATATTCATCTGACTTCCAGCAGCTTGTATCGTGAGCTTTCAGCATTACATTTTCTTCTGTCCTCTGAATTTCTTTGTGTAATTGGTAGATTTTTTTCATCTTGCCACTCACCTTCCCACCCATGGTGGAGGTTCCAGCATTTCTTTGGGGACCTTTGCTGAAAACCTCCCCAGACTCTGAGCAGGAGGAGCAGGGCTCTGAGCTGGTGTTGCTGGGTGTGGATGCCTCTCCAGAGAGCTCACCATCACAGAGGTGATGGTGAGGAGTGCACACAGGTGGAATGTGAGGGATGCAGGCAAGGTGCTGGAATGGTGGTGATGTGAGAGCTGTCCACATATCTAGAAAGCTGGCCCTGCCTGGGAAACCCAGGAAACCTTGCAACCCAGCTGCTCACTGTTCCTCTTAATGCAGGGGTAGTAACATCTCCCCAGCACAAATGTTGAGGGGAGCAGCTATGATAGTGCTCCCTCTTTGCCATTGTTTCAATGCAGCAGCTGGGATTTTTTAGCAGAGCCACTGCTGGAGTCTCTGATGGGGCTGCATGCAGGATGTGTGTGTGCAGAAGGTGTGTGTGCAGGATGTGTGTGTGTGCGGGATGTGTGTGTGCAGGATGTGTGTGTGCAGGATGTGTGTGTGCAGGGCTGGTACCTGCTTGCACCTCAGCTTCATGTTGGGCTTTTCCTGGTTGCTCTCTCCTCTCTATTCAGTTGGATGATCACATGGCAGCACCAGAGGCTGCTGGCTTGAAGCAGATACTGTTGGTAGGATCAGGCCAAGCCAGGCAGCCCCAGCCAGGCAGAGGATGAGCCCTCAGCTGCTTCCCAGCAGGCAGACTGTGTTTGCCAACCCCTGCTTTGCTGCCCTGCCATGGTTCCAGTCCCCTGTGGTGCTGTGCAAGACTTGCCCTGCACGTACAGTGCTCCTGGGACTCACTGTGGGGTGCCTGGAGTGTGCACAGTGCCAGGCTTTGCCTGGCAGTTTCCCTGATGTGAGACTGGCATGCAGCAGCTCCATGGCCAGCACAGGTGAGCAGCTGGGGAGCTTGTGGGTCAGGAACTCAATGCTGTAAGCCAGGGGATGTGTCCATCCTGCACAAATGGTGAGGTCCATGTTTTACAAAGTTTGTGCAGGTTTAGAGGTTAGGGCTCCTGTGTACACATTTTGCCTTGTAATATATGATGCATAGGGATTTTTGTTCTCCCCACAATTTTGTAAGCAGTAGCACCATTCAAAATAGAAGAAATAAATTCATTAGGAAGTACATGTAAAGATAGAGGGTGGGGAAAGGATGCTGGGCTAGAGAGCATGCAGAGGGCACTGCTCATTTCACCTTGTGACAGTGCCCAGCAAGCAGGGAAGGGAAAGAGTGGGCTGTCACCATTCTGGGAATCTCAAGTGAGATTTATTTGGGATGAAAAATAAGCAGCAAGCTCTGATGGGAGCAAGAGACTGAGCTGGTAATGGTTGGGAGCTCCAGCTTCAGCCCTGCTGCAGGATGACTCAGTCTTTAGCAGAACGGCAGGGGTAGAAGCCAGGTTCCTACCCCCAGGAGTGGCTGAGCTTTTAGCACATCTTCAGCTGCTGCTCTGTAGCGAAGTAAATTGTTGCTTTGCTTGGAGATGACAGTGCTTACCTCTGCCCCAGCTGCTGAGTGATGCTTCCTGCATCCAAGTCCAAAATAACTGGGAACAGAGCAAAGGTTTGGCTGACTACTGAGAGCTCGTGGTCTCCCCTTGGCTTGCTCTATTGGGATAGATTTCTCTCTCCCATGTCCTGCTTATGTAGGGTTAGCCTTTTCTGTGTCAGGATAGATGCTTTAGTGGGTCAGACAGGCTGCTGTCCCTCTGCAGCCCATGTTGGCTGACTCCGTCTCCTACATACTTCATAACCTCTTTCTTACAAAGAGATTATCCTCATTTTCCCCCGTCACAAAGTCTTGGACAGCAGTGATTCAAATTATGGCCCAGGCAATGCCAGCTCTGTAAAGTTCCTGCCATATTGTCCTGCTTTTCAGTCTCATGCCGGGAAGCAGCAGGATGCACAAGCGCTTGCTTGGGAAGTCCTGTGCCCCAAGCTGCCAGTTCTACATGCTTAAAAATAGGGTTTAAATCCTCTCCTGGGTACAGGAACCACAAGAATTTCACAGAGCTTTTCAGTGGGGGGGTAGGCTATATAAGACCTGGAGCCAGGGTGGGAACACAAAAAAATCCTCTGCACCTGCTGCAGTCATCCTCTGATTTGCTGGTGGGGTGTTACGGGTGCCTGATTGCCCGACAGGTGCCATGGATTTTCCTTGCTCCTGGCATGTGCAGTCAGCAATTTGAAATGAAACGTGCTGTGCCAGGCAGAAATCCTCACTGCTGGAAGATGGAGTTCAGGCAAGGGGTAGTTATTCTTCCTCTCCTTGTGTGAGGACATCACTGGTTGCTGGCTGTACCCACTCAGAATAAGTAGCTAATTAAAGTTGGGCTTCATAGCTGTATAAAATTCCTCTGCAAATAAAGCCTTGTAGCCTGTGTGAGGCTGTTCATGTGGATCTGAGCTATGCAAAGCAGTAACTAGATCTCACAAAGCTGCAGGAGCAGGTAAGTGATGTTTCCCTTCTCTGTATGGAGATATGGACTAAGCAGCACTGGACTGTCACAGAAAGCGGTGGCAGAGGCAGGGCTGGATGCCAGCTCTCTTGGTTCAGCTGTAACTGGGTGGGTTTGGGAATATTTCAAAGGCACTTAATGGAGAGATTAATCCCTGAACTTAGTGACTGTGGGTTTTCAGGACTCTGCATAACCTGACAGACAAAGATCTGCAGTGGCTCTTGCATTCCAAGGACTCATGGATGCAAGCTGTGGACCACAGCACCTTTCAGAGAGCAGGTGTGAGTGGAAGGCAGGAGTGCTGGTCAGCCATGTCCTTTACAGTCCTCATGTGGGAGAAGGGTCCTGTGCCCACCCCAGTGATGGCACATTAGAAGGGAAACAGGCAGATTCAGCATGTGTGAAAGTGAAGATGGGAAATGACTAAAGAAAAGACATTTCTAGAGTGAAGCATGAAAGGAGGGGAAAGATGCTTTGCAGGTCCTCTCCTGCTGCCAGATCACTCTCACTTCACTGAGAATGGGAAGAGGGAGGCCAGCTAACACAGGCTGCCCTGGGGAGGGGGGTTTTGCAGGGCAGCCTGGATAGTGGGCTCCATCCTAGTGAGCCTTCCTGGTAAACCTTTCCCAGGCAGGACAGGCCACAGTGGTGCTCCTCAGCTGCTCTAGGGTGCTTCCCTCTCTCTTCCAGGCTCTCCATCAGCTGTATTATGACCCAAACATCGAGAACAAGAACTTGGCTCAGAAATGGCTGATGCAGGCACAGGTGTCCCCCCAAGCATGGCACTTCAGCTGGCTGCTTCTCCACATGGACAAGGTACCCGAGATCCAGTACTTTGGTGCCAGCGCTCTCCACATTAAAATCTCCCGTTACTGGAACGACATCCCGGCTGACCAGTATGAGAGCCTCAAGTCGCAGCTCTTCACCCACATCACGCGCTTCGCCAGCGGCTCCAAGATCGTGCTGACGCGGCTGTGCGTGGCGCTGGCCTCCCTGGCGCTCAGCATGATGCCAGAGGCCTGGCCCTGCGCCGTGGCAGACATGGTGCGCATGTTCCAGGCGGAGGACTCCAACGTGGACGGGCGGGCGCGGTGCCTGGCGCTGCTGGAGCTGCTGACGGTGCTGCCTGAGGAGTTTCAGACCAGCCGCCTCCCGCAGTACCGCAAGGGCCAGGTGCGCAGCGTGCTGGCGCAGGAGTGCGGCTCTGTCTTCCCTTTGCTGGAGCAGCTGCTGCAGCAGCAGGACTCCCCGGGTTTCATCAAGCAGAAGGTGCTGAAGTGCTTCTCCAGCTGGGTTCAGCTGGAGATCCCGCTGATGGACTGCGAGAACCTCATCCAAGCAGCTTTCACCTCTCTGCAGGACCCAGAGCTCTTTGACACAGCAGTGGAGGCTGTGGTCAATGCCATTTCCCAGCCCGATGCCCAGAGGTAAGGGCAGCCTCTCCTATGTGCTGCAGGCTGGTGCTCCTGGACATCAGCAGGGAAACAGGGTGGGAAGGAGAAATCTCAGGCTTTTTTTCTAGCTGTCGTTGGCTCTGAAGGTAATGATGACAAGGTTTGGAAGTGGGAGAGTATCAAAAGCAATTGGGGGCTGTTAGTTTCTCATTGTTGGTCCAGGAAGGCTTTGCACTATGGTTGACTTGTAGGAGCCATGAAGTCTTGGGCACCTGCAGCCCATGTCCACGCTGGCCTCTGAGGCAGACAAGGATGCATGCTTCTGGCTCCTCGTGTCAGATCCTGCAGCAGCCAACCAGACAGCAACCGCCTGACTCCTGCCAGCAGGAGCTCAGAGACCTTCCTCTGCCTTGTGCTGCTGGTCCAGCCAAGGAGCTGATTAAATGCAGAGATAATAAAACCAGATCTGTCATTTTTTTCCCTCCTCTTGGCTCCAGCAGCTTGTGCCAGCCAAGGACTCATCCTTTGTCTGTAGCCAAAGCTGCCCTGGAAGCAGCTGAACTGGTTCTGCTGGGGCTGCGCTTGGGGCTCTGAGCTTGTCTGCTTGGCTGCATTGCCTGAGCTGCTGTCAGCTCTTGGGACCAATGCCTGCAGAAGGGACATTACATCTCCAGTTCCCGTGGCACATCCCTTTCTGGCTGCTTAGCAACCTTCCTGCGAAGAGGATGGGTTTCCTTGAAGGCTGAGTTGAGCTGCTGCCACTGTGCATGCCCTGTGCATCGCTGCACATCACGCAGGCTCCGACCCTCTGCAGCGGTGGGAATGATGCTGCCACTGCACTTGTGAGCCCTGGTCCCCCTCTTGGTTAAGGGCAGGGGCAACCTGCACATTCCCCAGCTCTAGGACAGCCTGGGGCTGTCCTTTTCAATGACAAGGAGTTGCAACTGTGGACTGCAAATCCTGGTGCACAAAGGGACCCATCACAAGATTAATGTGTTGCTGGATGGGGTGAGGGGTTGCTTCATTTGCTAGTGTTTAGAAGGTGACCAGAAGCTCTTTTTTCTTGTGCCTGGCAAAGGCTATGGACCAGTTCAGACCCTTGTAGCAGGTCTGGGGCAGAAAGTAAGAATGTGTGAGAAGGTCGCCTGCAGTTCTGAAATGTTGTACTCTGTCTTCCTGCTTTCCATTTCCCTTCAGTCTCAGAAGTCCCTTGGCTGTGATTCCATACCTTTTTGCAGAAGCCTGGCCCTGCAGTGCTGCTCTTTGGTTGCATTAAAAGACTAAGTTTTCTGTTGAGCTTTCAAAGTGAATTGTGGAGAGGTGTGGCTGACAGTGGGGTTTCCTCTCTGCTTCTCTGCTAACTCTGTCATGCAGTTTTTGTCCTCATTCAGACCCATGCTGGCAGCTCCCTTACAGAATCTTCACTACTTGTTCTCCATCCTTCTTCCTGGAGGCATCAGCAGCCATGCAGAGCACGCTCCTGTCTGTAGTCATTGCGAGGAGTGGCCAGGACAGGGCAGGCAGCTGGCCTGAAAGGCTATGCAGTGTGTGAGCCTGGTGCAGCTCCTGCCCTGGCATGTGGGGACAGTGGTGGCATTGTCACAGGATGCCCTGCCAGGCGGCGTGTGGTGTCGGCTGCTTCCCAGCCCTGGTGGGCACTCTCCTCCCCTTTGTTTCTTGTGTCCACTATAATGTGTTCTTCCTCCTGCTTCCCCTAGTGCCGGCTGTCCCACCCCTCTGGCTTTGTCACTCAGCCAAAGTGGATCCAGCTCTTTCCCAGAGCCCCCAGGGAGTCTCCTGACCTTTCTGTCTCTTATGTTGATAGTCTGGGAGATCCCTGCTGCTTTTCAGCTGCTCTCTTCCTCCTTGGTCTCTTGCCTTTGTTTCTGCAAGGCCCTTGGCTGGAGGCTTGGAGCATTCTTGGCACTGGGCTGCTGGCATGGTCCTCTCCAGAGTTTTTTAGGGCATTGCTCCATGAGAGGGTTAGTCTTGGGGTTCACCACTTTGCCATGCATTCCCTGAATGCTTTCTACACTGTGTCTTTCCCCCTTTGCTCCTTCCCAGCTGTCTTCACTGACGTTGCTGCAGAGGTGATCATGCAGGTGTGCTTCTGCCACCAGCAGAAGTCCTAGTGGCTCATGAGCTTGGCTTCTGACTTTGAGGGTTAGATAGTTTGTCAGTCGTCTTCCAAGGGGAGCACCACCTTGCAAGGCAGCTCTGCTGCTGCAGCACCTGTGTCCACGTGGCTGTGGTGCTGCCTCGCTCTTGGGGAAGTCACTTGTGCTGGCAGCTCCCGTTTCTCTGCTTGCAAGGAGCAGTGAGTGGTTTCCTGCCTCTGAGGTGTTACTAGAAATGATGCACCAGAGATGTGTAGGTGCAAAGTGTTTGATCTTTACACCTGCCAGGTGGGTGGAAGCCCTGTGAACCCAGAGAAGGGGATGTGCCACGTATTGCTGGAGTCTTGATGATGCTCCTCTGTTAGGACATGGCATTCCTGAGAAGAAACATTGGAGACTGGGCCAGGAGCTAGAACTGGAACATGTCTGAGCACACCTCTGCTCTTGGAGCTCTTGAGTTGTGGGAGCGGAAGAATGGAGATGCTGTTGCATCTCATTTGCAAAGGAGTGGCTTGGGCTGTATTTTCCATCTCGTTTGAGGATTATCCCCCTCAGCTAAATGGGTCAGAGCGCTTGGCAGCATGTGCTGCAAGGGGAGAGCTGTCATGTGGCTTTTGGCCACTTGGCCATCCTGTAGGGCAGTGGGTAGCATTGGAGTGGGGTAGGGACCATCTTGTGCTGTTTGCCCATGTGGGAGTTACGGAGTGTGGATGTTGGACACTGAGCCTCCTCTGAAAGCAGCAGGGTGTTGCTACAGTGGTGGACCTGGCAGGACTGCAGGTGACCGTAGGGAATTGCCTGGTGTCTTTACTGCCATTTCTTTCTGGTCTTGGCACCTGGTGCTGAATTTTTGACGAGGAATTTCACTTGAGTTTTCCAAGAGCTTCATTAGAAACAGATTTTTAATAAGATTGGGTTATTATCTCATTAAGATGTGGTTCAGATTTTGGATCAGGAAGGATCTTCCCTCTACAGGTTGTCCCCTCCACTGGTGCAGTTTGCAGAGGGTTGTGGGAAGAGCAAGAGTAGATGCTGGTCCCACAGAGGGAGCTGCAAATGCTGCAATTCCCTGGGCTTTGAGAAGGGACCGGACAAACTCAAGAAAGCAATATTTGCTCAGTTCCTAAATACCAGGATAGCAAATCTTGCTCAGGAAGGCTAAGACAAATCACTACAGGGAACTGCATGGGCAAGAGTCACCATGTGATTGCCATGTTCATATTCTCTTTCACAGGCAGTCACAGTTTTTGGCCGCTGGAAACAAGCTGGGCATCCAGGGGCTCTTCTGAACTGGGATGGTTTTGTCGTCTTCTGTCTGACAGCAGCGTGGGGATGGGAAGTGGTGGCTGGCAGCACCTCCTGGGGCAAGCTCTGCACCTGGTCAGGGATGTGGCATCAGCTGGTCCCTTGGGCTGGAAGGCAGCACTGACCAGGTGGAGTGACCTGGGGCTCAATGCTCCTGGATATGGAATAGAGCAGCTCAGCTCTGGCTGACTTGACCTCAGGTCTTGGGTGGCTGGTTAAAATAACTCTTCTAGAGCAAGCATTTCCTGTCTAGGGACCCTTGCATCCATGATGCCCTTATGTCTGCAGAGCAGTTTGCAGAGCAAGGTGATGCTCAGGAGATGTGGTCCACCCAACATTTCCTAGAAGTCTTCAATAATATGGGATTGCAGCATGGAAGCAAATCTAGGTGGTTATCTCTGTTGGCTGTGCAGGGATTCCAGAGGATCAGGTCAGGTCCAGGCACTGAATATTTCAGGGTAACCAGCAGAAGCGGGATCCTTGTCAGAAAAAGTCATAAAAGTCACAAAGCCATAAAAAACTCCCTAGGGTTATGTAAACCCAGTGCTGTGGAGGAAGCCTGGCTTTGCCTTACACTGGAGCAGTGGAGGTTTCCCTATGGCTTTTTGTCTGGGCACTGCCCTGGCTCCCTTGGGACTACCCTGCATGTAGCATTGGTTCCCAGGGAGAGGAGCTATTGAATTTCCAAATTCTCCATCATCACATTGTTCCCATGCTGTCACATGCATAACTCACAAGGCATCAGAGGCTTGGAAATGGTTTATGCAAAAATAAACCCTTTGCTGTGTGATTTTCTCTGGGGGAGAGGGAGAGAGGAGGGTGACCCCCAGCAGCACAGAGGGAATGCTGGGATGACATCTGGGATTGTAGACACCTTGTTTCCTCTGTCTTCTCTTGCTGACCCAGAGAGAAATCTGCCATCACCAGCACAACTCTGTCCCTGCACTGGTGGCACCAATGGCTTTGTTCTCTCCGAAATCATCCATAGCAAAAGCCACCCTGCCGCTCTGGGGTGGGTGTGTGGCTGTCCTGATGTCGGCACTCACATCTCTTCCCCAGGGTGGGCACAAGAGAGCTGGAATCATGTATGCCTCCCACTCCAAGCATCCTTAGCCCTGCACCTGCATGTAGGGGGTGGGCAGAGAGCACAGGCTGTGGCTGCAGATAACACGCCTGGGTGGGCAGGGAAATGGCAGGGAAAAGGCAGGCTGCTCATCAGCCTCCAGCACGGCCTCTCCGGGGCCCTGGGCTGCCTTTCACCTTGGCTGCCTCCTTCTCGTTGCCTTGGTTACCATCCCTCACAGGCAGCAGAGGGGAGGCTGACGTGCGGGATGGGATGTGGGAGAGCAGTGCTGCGCTGGCCTGTGCAGCCCGGGATGTGCCAGGGGACCAGCACGGCCCCTGGGTGGGACTCCCCAGCGGGGCTGCCCAGTTCATCCCAGACGTGGCACACAGCCTGGACGTGCCCAAAGCTGGAGAGGCGTGTGGTTTCCCACTGGCAGCTTGGACTGCCTCTGTGCACATCTGAGGGCATGGTGGGAAGAGCCCACAGGTCTGCCCTCACCGCTGTTCTGCTCCACATGGACGCTGCCGTGCGCAGGCACAGCTCACTCGGGCTGGTTTGGCACTGGCAGGTTGGAGGTGCTGGCAGCCCTGCTGGCAGGCGTGGGTCAGCAGGGGCAGGAGTCCACACCGTGGTGCAGGGGGCTTTGCCCAGAGCTGATGGCCACTGGCTCAGCACTGCACTCTGCAGCAACGCTCAGGGCTGCAGCTTTTGTCCTAATGCCACAGGCTGCAAGGAGAGTTCATGTAAGCAGTAAGGGCTCCTGCATGCATCCCATTGCACAAAGCAGCCATCAAGTAGGCAGAGCTGGGCAGGAGCCCTGGGAGAGCATCAGGAGGGATGGATGGCATGGCAGCCCATGCCAGGGATGCCTGGCACTGATTCAGGCTGTGCTTGCAGGTACGTGAACACCCTCCTCAAGCTCATCCCGCCCGTGCTGGGGCTCCAAGAGCAGCTGCGGCAGGCGGTGCAGAGCGGGGACATGGAGACGTCGCATGGAATCTGCCGCATTGCTGTGGCCCTGGGGGAGAACCATTCCCGGTGAGTGCTGGGGATGGTCCCTAGGAGGGGAGTGAGCTTGGAGCAGCCTGCTGTTCCCCACATCCTGCTTTTTCCAGGACCTCTCCTGTACCCAGTGACATGTGTCAGGGCAGAGGAGCTGGAAACTCTGACCATGCTCTCTGCTTCCCAGAGCCCTCCTGGACCAAGTGGAGCACTGGCAGAGTTTTCTGGCCCTGGTCAACATGATCATGTTCTGCACTGGCATCCCTGGACACTACCCCGTCAACGAAACCACCAGCTCCTTGACCCTCACCTTCTGGTACACGCTGCAGGTCAGTGACTGTTGTGGACAGCCTGCCTCCAGGCAGGGCCAGAGGCACCAGTGCATGGAGGCTGGTGCTGGCCTGGATTTAATTGGTCCGAGGGATTTCTGATGTCCCCACTCCTTGGCCTGCCCTTGCAGCTAGGGCAGGGCACATACCTAGGAAATGCTGGCCCCGTGGCTGGCTCTTTCTGCCACCAGTCCTCCTTAGAAGTGTGAGCCATCCTTTAAGGGCCTCATTAACAAAACTAATTAAAATTTCATGTTAATTTTTTTCTTCCCAGCGGCAGACCTGGTTGTTTAGCTGCTTGCTGCGTGCCTGCAGCAGGCAGGAACAAGAGCATAGCTCTACTGGCTGCCCAGTGTGGGGTCCCTCTCCCAGGGTCAGTGTTCCCTGGATCAGCAGAGCAGCCCTGTCACACTGTGCTCTATTTTTAGCTCCCTTTCATCCCTCAGCTCCATTCCTCTGCAATCCAGTGTGGCTTGGCTGAGCGTGGGCAGGGAGGGGAGCGAAGTCAGTGCCGTGCCAGCAGCTCCTCTGCTGCATGAGGCCAGGCTAAGGCTCCCACGACCTCTTGCTGCTTCTCCAGATGGGTCTGAGATTACAGATGCATGCAGGAGGGCACTGTGCTCAGTCAGCTCTCTCACAGCAGTCTGAGGCACGCCTGCTCCTGGTGTGGGGGTGCTCCCAAGGATAGGACATGGCAGGATGCTACCACTCCCTGTAACAGTGCTGTCTGAGAGTCTGCCCAGCTTCTGGGGCTTCTGGCATCTTGCCTCCAGATAATGCTGCCACTGCAGAAGGGCACAGCATCAAGTGAATCTTAGGGAGCTGGAAATGCAGCTTTCCAAGGTGTACCAGGTCCCCCCAACCCTGGGAGATGTGCCTGAGTCCCCTATGCAGCAGGCATATTAGCTCTATTTTCCTTTCCCTGCAACACCTGATGTGTTTATCCCTCCTCCTGCCTCCAGGATGATATCCTCTCCTTTGAGCCAGACAAACAGGCAGTGTACCAGCAGGTCTACAGGCCTGTCTACTTTCAGCTGGTGGATGTGCTGCTGCACAAAGCCCAGTTCCCCTCCGATGAAGAATATGGCTTCTGGTCTTCGGATGAGAAGGAGCAGTTTCGGATATACAGGTACAAGTTGGAGATTTGGATTTGCTTGTCAGGCAGGTGAGAATGCAGAGGCAACCTTCTGCCTCCCTGGAGACTGAGTGCTGTATGATGAGCCAAGGAGGGACACAGAGGATATTCCTTCCATCAAGAGCTGTTTTGGCTGTGGTGGTAATATGGAAATGAGCTGGTTTGTCTCATTTGGGAAAATTTTGGCACAGCAGCAGTTACTCTGCCCAAGAGGCCATAAGATCACTCCATCACTTGGGACAGTGTGCTTGTATGAGCAGTGCCTGTGCCCTGGAGAGAAAGTGATGTGTCCACACGTGGAGCTCTCTGCATGGGTTGGGGACAGCGTTTGGAGACACCCATGTTCTCTGCAGGGTGGACATCTCTGACACGCTGATGTACGTGTATGAGATGCTGGGTGCCGAGCTCCTGAGCAGCCTCTATGACAAACTGGGACGTCTCCTGACCAACACGGAGCAGCCGTCCACGTGGCAGGTGAGCAAGGGGACCCAGGTGCCAGGCTGACAGGTACAGCCCTCAGGGACCTGTCCTCACTGTCAATGGGGCACTGAAAGCAAAGGGACATGACAGAGGTGAGGAGCATGAGCAGCTTGCCAGCACACAGACAGTCTCTCTGGGGTCTGCTGTGGACAGGAATAGGTTTTCTGCCTCCCTGTCCGTAGTTCTGCCAAGGGATCAGCCTCTTCAGCTACTGTGGGGGTGCTGAGCTGGTGCCTGGAGCTGGGGCAGGGTTGGGCATCGGGGTCAATGCATGGCTCTGACAGTGCTTCTCCCACGCTGGCAGCACACGGAGGCCTTGCTCTATGGCTTCCAGTCCATTGCTGAGACCATCGATGTAAACTACTCGGATGTGGTGCCCGGCCTGATCGGCCTCATTCCCCGGATCAGCATCAGCAACGTGCAGCTTGCTGACACCGTCATGTTCACTATTGGTGAGTGGGCTGGGCTGGGCAGGGAAAGCCCCCTGAGACCACATCTGCCCAACAATACCAGTGGTGAAAAGCAAAGCTGGGCATGGCGGAATGCAGAGAACAAGAACCTGTGGGGCAGTCCTGCAGTCTGACCCCATCCGTGTATGCAGGATCCCTGTCTGAGTGGCTGGCTGATCACCCTGTCATGATTAACAACGTGTTACCACTGGTGCTTCAAGCCTTGGGCAACCCTGAGCTCTCCATCTCCAGTGTCTCCACTCTGAAAAAGATCTGCCGAGAGTGCAAGTACGACCTGCCACCTTATGCTGCCAACATTGTCGCTGTGTCACAGGTAGGAGCTGGATGCAGGGGGACGTGTGGTGGTAACCTGGGATGTGCTCTGTGCACACCTTTTCCTTTGTAAGGATCAGGACAAGGGGAGCAAGGAGCAGCGGAGGGCATCTTGCTTGGCACAGATTTCTTGCCTGTTTTGTTCATAGGCTAGTGGCAGGCCCTGTGTCCTGCTGTGAATGTAGAAATAGCAGCCAGTGACAGACACAACTGCCCAGGGGTCTGTACGTGGTGTGTCTGTCCTTCCCCCAAGTTTTTTTTTGCCTTGTTGGGAACAGCTGGATACCTGCCATGCTGCTAGTGCCTCTGCTGAGCATCTTGGAGGAGAGTGCCCTGGTGTTCAGGCCTCTCCTTGGAGCCTGACCTGATCTCTGCAGTTCTGGGGCAGCTTGTCCCATGCTCCTTCTTGACTCTCAAGATTTGGGGCGGATGGGGCTCAGAGTCCCGAGGAACAGGGAGAAGGGCTGGACTTGGGCAAGCTGTTAGGACATACATGGGAGAAGAGAGGTGAAAGGCTCTTGAAAGCATCTCTGCTTTTAGAGCCTGGGGAACACTGTCACTGGAAGAAGGAAACCCTGGCTGAGGTTGACTCCTTGAGCGATCCTGCTGCAGAGCCCTTCCAAGCCAGGAGCTTTCCTTGCTGGGTGGCTGAGTGGGCTGGCTCAGGGGACAGGAATTTTATTTCTTGCCTGTGGCAGGTTGTGGGGAGCACATGAAGTTTGTCTGTGCCCACACTGGTGTTAGTTGTCTTGACCTGTGTCAATCCTACCTCCTGTTGTCAGTCCTGCTGCCTGGAAGGCAAGGGCCTTTCTACAGCACTCACCCTTCTTTTTTCCTCTTCCTTTCCCTTTGACAGGAGGTGTTGATGAAGCAGATTCACAAGGTAAGAGAGGCGGACTCACACCTCTGCTGGTTCTCCTTGGCCCCCATGCCCCCTTAGTCATGTTCAGCTGAAGACACAAAGCTGTCCCCAGAGGAGAGCCCAGCGCTGCATCCATGGTGTGCAGGATCAGGAGAACCTGCTGGCTGCCTCTTGCTGCACTGCTGGGCTTCACTTCACCCACAGAGGCTGGGCTTGTGCTGGGAGGGTATGTCCCCCAGAGAGGGAGGAGGAGGAGGAGGCTTAACTCTAGCAGTTCCCAGTCTCCCCAGACCCAAGGACACCAGGTGACAGGCATGTTTTCAAGAGGAAAAAGGGAGATAAGTGTTGGAACTGAGCCCCAGCCTTGCCTGTGACTAGGATGGGGTGGCTGTGACAGGCTGTGCAAAGAACGGGGTGTCAAGTCAGGGTGAGTGATGCCAGCATGGAGATCTCTGGACACCAACAGGTCTTTCCTTGGCAGGTGCTGGGAAGAGGCCTGGTGTGCTGAACCCAGAGCTCCTGTTCCCTGGGAACAGAAGCTGTTAGGGAGCTGTTCCCCTCTCCTACAGTGAGATGGACCTAGAGGGACCCAGATAGAGCAGCTCAGGAGCTGCAGCACACCCAGCTGGGACCCTGGCAGCTGTCAAAGCATGGTCTGTGTGCTAGGCAGTGACCTGCCCTGTTGTGTCTTCTCTGTCCCAGACAAGCCAGTGCATGTGGCTGATGCAGGCTCTTGGTTTCCTGCTTTCTGCACTGCAAGTGGAGGAGATCCTGAAGAACCTGCACTCCCTGATCACCCCCTACATCCAGCAACTGGAAAAGCTGGCTGATGAAACGGTGAGTGCCTGTGTGCTGCCTCCATCACAAGTGGTTTCTCCTGCTGGCTGTAGGCCTGGAGCTGCTGTGCTGAAGCAGCACTCGTAAACATGGACTCACGGGAAAGTGCAGTGCAGGGAACCCCTCTCTGGCACTTTGCCTCTGCAGTTCTAGTTCCTCAGCATCCCAAAGACATGACTATGATTGAGCAGTGCAGTCTGTGTCATACTTTGGCTTTATTTTCCCTGGCAGCCCAATCCCTCCAACAGGCTGGCCATCATCCACATCCTGGGCCTGCTTTCCAACCTCTTCACCACCCTAGACATCAGCCACCACGATGATGACCATGAAAGCACCGAGGTCAAAAAACTGCCAGTGCAGCAAGGACCCAACCCAGTAAGTAGAGCAATAGCTCCAAGTTCTCTGGCACAGACTGACAAAGCCTCACAACTCACTGCAAGAGAGGGGGTTAATGGAGAATGCAGCATGTGCCAGCAAGAGGGTAGTGCTAGTCTGTTCCAGCTAAAATAGCTCCTTCAGCTCATCCCACCACTCCTGAGGTGGACAGAGGTGACTTGCCTCTTGGATGCCTCTTGGTTAGGTGCTGCCCTGGAGGATGGCCTGGGTGCTATCTGCCAAGTGTGAGCAGTGCCAGGCTGCTTCAGAAAAAAAGCTGTCCAGCTTTGGAGAGGGGTGGTGCCTGAAACTTTCAGTCCAGGCCATGCTTAGTCTTGAATCTCCCCTTCCCAATGCCATGGGGGCCAATTCTCTTCAGTGTCTCTCATTCCTTACAGGTGGTGGTGGTTCTGCAGCAAGTCTTCCAGCTCATACAGAAGGTTCTCAGCAAGTGGCTGAATGATGCCCAGGTGGTGGAGGTAACCAGGCTTCACTTCTATACTGCCTGCAGTTCTGCCTGTCCTTGCTGACCTGAGTGGGGGACAGCAAAGGACAAACTCTGGGTGATGGCCTGTGAGAAGGATGTCTTGCTGGGTTATCTGGACCCGTGCTGCTTGCTGTCACCGGCAGCATCAAGTCATCCTTGTCTGTCTTGTTCCTCCATCAGCTCTGCTTCTCTCCAGAAACTGAGGTCCTGCCATGAGCAGGGAGGTGGAATCTACCCAACCTGTATTCCCTAAGAGAACAGCTCTGTTCTGAACTGGACCTGTGTCATCTGGTGCTTGTCCAGTTTGTTCAGTCCAGTAATGCCCATGTGCAATGTCCCACCAGCCATTTCTCCCCAACCCTTGGGGAGCCTTCCTGCTGTGGTGGGAAGGGTGTTTCCTGGTCACTGGGAGCATTCTGTGCTGCAGGGGAGGCCACCAGTATCAGAGCAAGTCTGAGCCCTTTGCCTGGCTGGCCCTGTCCCCAGTGCCAGCTCTTTGTTCTCGTGGGACCCATCCATTAAGCCCTGGGAGAGGTCTCCTGATGCCCATTGCTCATGCAGTCCCCCTTTTCCCACAGTCTGTCTGTGCCATATTTGAGAAGTCTGTGAAGACCCTCCTGGATGATTTTGCCCCCATGGTGCCTCAGCTGTGTGAGATGCTGGGGCAGATGTACAGCACCATACCCCAGGTCTCTGCCATTGAACTCACACGGCAGGTATGGAACTGTGCTTGGGAGGCTGGGGATGTGCAGGGCCAGCAGAAGCCTCAATTCTTTTCTCTCTTTTGCAGTTGGTTCACATCTTTGCCCATGAGCCTGCCCACTTCCCTCCCATCAAGGCCCTCTTCTTGCTCGTTACCTCAGTCACACTGACCCTGTTCCAGCAAGGTACGTAGGATTAGCCTGTCTCCGTGCTGGGGCTCTTGTCAGGCTTTTGCATGCGTGGAGTCTGGAGGCCTCTTACCAGGAATGGCTGATTTCACTCCTAGCTAAGCTAACTGGGGCCATCTCTGTTTCTTGGATTCATCCCAACCCCTGGAAGGTGGGTACCTTCCCTGCAGGCAACAGAAGCAGGAAACCCCTGGGTGCTCTGGGCCTCTGTACTGTTACAGCAACCCAGGCTGGATATCATGTGCAGCAAGGGTCAATCTGGAGCTGCTGTCCAGCTTGGCAGGGAGGCTATGCCCACAGGAAGATCTCGGGGCTTCTCTGTGGTCTGCTACTGCTTGTAGTGGCCTGATGTGTGTGTGAGCAGCTGGGAAATTACTTTTTCAGAGTCACTGGTGGCCACTGAGTCCCTGCTGTGATGCTGAGGATGCTGGTGTTCTGCAGGGCAGGGGCCCCTCTTTGGCTCACTGCCTACCCTACAAAAAGCATATGGGGTTAGAACAGGCTCCTTTGCACCATGGCTCCCCTCAGCATCTTAGTGACCTGCCCTGTGACAGAGACAAATGTACATTGGAGCTGCTGGATCTGGTCCTTCAGCATTACCACATGGGGCCCTCGAGGGGTCTTATCCTTTGCTCATAGCTGGGTGCCAGGTAGGGTGATGCTGTTCCCCAGCTCAAGGCTCAGAGCTCTCTAGAGAGGTGGGGGGAGAGACATGAGGAGCCCTGGTTCATCATCACACCACGGTCCGAGCAAATCCCGCTGTGCTGAGGTGTCACTGGGGTCAGTGACAAGCAAGCCAGGCTCCCTCGGATATCAGGTCCCCGCTCGTGCCAGTGGCGTGTGGATGTGTCTGTGCTGGAACCCTTTTGCCTCGCTGCTGGGGAGCTGGTGATGCCTTCAGGCAGCAGCAGGCACGTCTGCAGGAGCAAAAGGGAGGGGACAGAGCCCGAGCTGTGCCAACACTTGGGTGTGAGCTTTGCTCAGGCAAGCGGCTGTTCAGCTTGGTGTGTGCCCAGGACTGTCCCCTTGGGTGGGGGCCCAGCTCTGAGCAGGGTGAGCCCCTTCTGCTGAGCCCACGTGTGGCAGGAGAAGGGAGGCATGCCTGAGCCTACAAAGGCCAAGAAGTGAGTGTGCACAGTCAGATGCCAAGGCAGGGTGAGTGGTGCTGGCACAGAAATCTCTGGGCGCTGAGCTGCTCTTTCCCATGAGGATGCTGGAGGAGACCTCCAGGAGAGTCCTGGACTCACCACTGTCCTGGAGAGCATCTGGGAATGGCGTGGGAGGGTGTCTGTGCCAGAGTCTCCTGAGCAGCTGACACTGGTGACAAGCATGTGCACGCCTGAGCCCAGCCAGGCCTGTCCAGCATTTGCTGAGGTGTTGTTCACTTGCAGTTACCTTCCAGGACCAAACAGTGCTCTGAAGACACCTCCTCAGTCCCCACAGTGCAAAAGCTATAATTCTCCTTGTGGAGATGGTGCTCAGCTAGCCCCTGCTCCTCCTTCTCTTCCTCCCCAAGGAAACGAAGATCTCCTCCTTGGCTCTGCAGCACCCAGGTGCTAGCTGGAGACCCTGGGGCTTTAGACCTGTTCCTTTGCAGTTTCTTTCTGTTCTTGGGTTCTCCAAGTTTCATGATTTTTTGTATGTTTTGTTTCTTTAACTTGCTTCAAACTGCTCATGTTGCCCATCCCCTTCCCCACACACCCCTCCTCCCTTACACTCCTGTTTTCACTTGTAAATTCTTTCTGTATCACATAACTATATGATGTTGAGTTGCTGTTTGTATGATTTTTCTCTTAAGTTACATCTTTATTATATTTTAGGGCCCAGGGATCATCCTGATATTGTTGATTCATTTATGCAACTCCTGGCACAGGTGTGTTTTAGTTTCTTATTCATTCACTTTCTGTTCTCTCTCTTTCTCTTTTTAATTCAATTTAAACCTATTTTTAGCTTTCTGTTGACAACGTTTTTTTTTCCTTTTAGTTGAATATCGAGTTTCTCCATCTGTTTCCGTGGAAGTTGAAAACAAAACATTCTCCTTTAGTTCTGGGTTCACACCATCCCCAGGGCAGTGCCCTCCTCTGCAGGCAGCTCCAGCTCCCACCCCCTTGCTGGGCTGAAGCTAGCATGGGGTGCTTGGTGCTGCTGCTGCAGTCACCCTTGGGTAACAGACAAATTAGAGCATTAAGTGGATGTTTTCCAACCCATGTAGCGGCCCTCTGGAGTGGGAACAGGCTGAGCTGGCTGCCCTGCCCATGGGCCAGTGGGAGGAAGCCCCTGCCCTCAGGAGCAGGCAGCTGCCAGGGTTTGGCTCTGAGCAACGTGCTTGTGATGGCATCTGGATCTGGCAAGTGCCACATTGCCTCCTGCCCCAGCAGCCTCTCCGGGTGGTGGCAGTTCCTGTGCAGGAGCCGCTGGCTCAGCGGCGCATGGGGACAGTTTGTGTTGGCATGGCAGGGACCATGGGCTGGCACGTGGGCTGGCACTTGTGTCACTGCTGTGGCGGTGGGCAGGCAGGGCCAGTGCTATGCTGTGTGTGTATATACACCTGCCCAGTGTGCTCCTCAGCCCCCCATAGCCCTTAAGGGAGAAGCCCTGATGTCCTTGATGTACTCAGTGTCCCTGTCAGAGATGTGTTCCCTGCCCACCTACTCACAGGGTGGGTCTGTGGTGAGGAGGGGCCTGGCAGAGTTGCTTTCTGCTCTGTTTCTGTGATGGGGAGACCTCTAACCACACATGCTGGACCAGTGGCTGTGCAGGAACATTCACCCAGGCTCCTCCCAGAGCTGTGGCCACCCTACCCTTGCTGACAGCCCTGGGAGGGTGCCTGGTGTGTCCTGGTGCTAAGCTGTCAGACCCCTCTGATCCTCCCATAGGTTTTGAGGGTTGGAGTGGGCAAGAGGGTTTCACCTGACTTCCCTGAGTCAGGGTCTTCCCCTCACAGTTCTCACCTTGATGCCCAGAGCCTGCTGAGACCCATTGCATCTCAAAGCCATATTGCAGCCTCTTCCTCCCTTCCACCTTAGACATAACATGATCAAGACTATCAGACTTCTGCTCTGCTTTCAGTTTTGGAAGCTGTGACCTTCTAACAATAGTTTTAAACATGATGGGAGGGTGGTAAATGGGATCTGTGCCTGAGGTTGTTGGTGGTGTCCTCACTGCTAGCAGGATCTTAATTTGAACACTGTTTGGGGTACAAACAGTGTTCAAATGTTTGGGGCACAACATTTCTGTAGCTTGATATCAGAGACCACAGAGAAAAGCATCTGGCAAGATGTCCACCTTGTACACATGGTGGGGAGGAAAAACTGATGGGAGCCTGAAGAGCTGCGTGAGTCCTGGAATGAGTAAAAGGTAATGTGCCAGTTGTAGGTAAAAAAAAACCCTTTTCTGTTCTCCTTGAGTGGGACAATCAGTAATGGGAGGAAATCATGGTAAAGGATCCAGGTCTGGCAGAAGAAAGTCTTCCTAAGAGAGCAGGGAAGCACTGGAAGATCCTGTGGGGAGCTGTTGTGTGGAGTTCTTGACCCAACAAGCCCATTGCTCTTGGAGGGTAGGTAGAAGTGATCCTGCTGGGGTGTAAGGGATTAGGTGACTCTGAAAGACTCTCTCAAGGCTACTTGTTGTTTCTTTGGAAAATACTGCATTTCTTTCTGGCTTGGGTTCCTCCTCTGTGTCTGGACACAGTATATGCTTTCTTGGAGAGAAAAGTGCAACCATGCTGCACTTCTGTGCTGCACACAGTGGGGTGTACTGTGAAACCGAACACTGCCCATCCAGTGTGCTGGGAATCTGTTACACACTGTCCTTGTGGGCAGGATCTGCAGGCAGTGCTGGGGCAATGTGCTGGCATTGTGTGTGGATGTGTGTGGATCTCCAGATATCCTTCAGAGGCATTCCTGCAGCTCAGAGGCTCCTACCTCCATGTCTTCTCCATCTTGGATCACTGTGAGACATCTGACATCATGCTGCCAGCCTGACACCGCCCACTCAAGACCTGTTGTTTTCCTGGGCTTTGTATTCCTGAAACCCCATGGAGACCAAAGGATCCCATCCTTGTCTTCTCTTCATGCATAGAACTCAAGGTTTCCTCTTTCTTGGCCTGACCCTTCTCATAGACTGGTGATCTAGAGAGGTACTTTAAAACCCATCCAGAATTGGCCTTAGCATCCCTGATTGGCTCGTTGCTCTCAGAACTTTGAGGGCTGTCTGATGGCAGAGATGGGTCCAGCCTGTCCTCTTCCAGAGGACCATACTCTGCAGTGATGCTTCTGAGGATCTGAAGATTGGAGGATTAAATTCAGAGGTAACTGCAGATCTCTTCAAATCAGATTTTTGTGTGGCGAGAGTTTTCACCTGCTCTGCCTGCAGACCTCTTGGCAAAGTAATGCATCTCCAGAGCAGCAGTGAATTTGGACACAAGAGTGTGTCAAGGTGGAAACTCTCCCACTTCCCTGACCATCTGTTTTTGTGGTTGATCGCCTTGGTGGAAATACCATCTTCCCTGTTTCAAGTTCGTGTGGTTTCTCCTTGAAGGCACTTTTTCTGCCCTCTCTGCCAGCAAGTACTGTCTCACCTTCTGATAACTCAGGAGAAGCTCATGAGGCCTGCATATCAGCTCTCAACACCAGCACACAGGGAATCATCTCCCTCTGTCACAGGATTCCTGCTGACTTTATCTTTGGGCTTGGTTGCAGCTCATGGAACTGCCCAGTTGTTGCAGGTGATCCTTTTGCCATAATGTTAATTGGCAAACCACTCTTGATGATGGCAATTCACAGTCCACTCAAGAGCTTGATGGCTGGCTGATCATGGGAGCTGCTGGCTTAAACCAAATAACAGACGAAGTATCACACTACTCAAGGATAAAATAACCAGTCTGCCGTAAGGCTGCACAGAGCAGAGCCAACATCCTGTTCTCAGTTACTCCCTCCTTCCTGTGCTGCATGCTGGGATCGGTGCAGAGCATCTCTGCTGCAGTGCCCAGGGTGAGCAGCCCACCTGGAGGGCGTGGGGCTCAGTTCCACCCGGGCAGCTGGAGCGCCTCTGCCCAGGACCACACGGCCACGGTGGCTGGGGCTTGCACCCAGGTCTGCATTGGCAAAACCAGGTGGGTTCTGAAGCTGGGGAACCAGTGGGTCTCACATGTGTGCTCCTGGTTGCAGGTAGGATTTTGGGACTCTCCATCCTGCCTTTCTACCTCATCCACCCCACCCCAGCAGGGCTTCTCACTTGCAGACCTTGGGAGCTTTTTGGTGACTTCCCTGACAGATCTTTGGGGCAGTCTGGGTGTGCGGCGCCTCACCAGGCAGAAGATGCAGGATAGACCTCCTGTGATGGCACAGACAGTGCCTGGCCAAGCACAGCCAGCTTCATCCCTCACCTTCCTCCCTTCATGGTCTGGTCCAGGCTGCATGTTGATCAGGCAGCAGTCATTGAGCTCTCCACCTCACCTGCTCCAGCCAGACTCAGAGAACCCTATGGAGGACATGGGTTCAGCACCCCATGCTGAGGCTCGCTGCTGCTGCCTGGCCAGCCTTATGTGCCCTTTTCAAAGCAAGAGGCTTTGCTCTGCCAGGTGTGGGATCTGGGAAGAGACTGGATACTGGGCACCAAGGCTGTGTGTTCTGGAGAGCTGCAGAAACCGGTGGTGCAGTCCCCACTGTCCTCTGCTGGAGGAGTGGGTGTCCCTTCCATGCCTGTCTGCTTATGAAGAAATGGGCACAGAAGAGTCTGCTCTGAAGACCTCTCTGGTGGTCTCTGAGCTGCTGTGGAGAAGAATCCAGTGTTCCCTCGATGCTGTCCTGCAGGACAGTTCTTGGAGAGCGAGTGTCTATCTCTGCAGTGGCTGCTCATGCAGAGGATATGGGGGGGACATTGGAAAGCATTTGAAGACCTGCCCCCATGTGAGCAGAGGTGCTCTGGCAGGAGATGGGGAAGATGAGCTGGCAAGAAGAGGTCCTAGAGCTTGAGCAGGGTTCCTGGTGCTAGGAAAGAGTAACTGGACATACCTGGTGTGGGGGAAGAGTAGCCAGACCTACCTAGTGCTGCTTTCTTATGGGAGAAGCTCCAGAGGGCCCCATCTTGTGGGGTAAAAAGCATCTCTCTTTACATTAGACATACGTATATGTACCCAGGTCTGCACTGGGCTTGCACTCTGCCAAGTGTCCTATGGGAAGGAGCTGTCCCAATGCTGACATGCTTTTCCCCATGGCACTGATGGAGTGAGGAGCAGATGCTGCAGTGAATCTGCAGGAGAACTTTTGGGGGGGCTGCAGCAGGTCTGGTTTGGCTGGGAGAAGCACCCTGCAGGTAGGTGGGAACCTGAGCGCATTGGAAGACTCGTGCCAAATGGAACAATTGTAGCATGCAGGACTCAGGTTAAAACCCATGGACGGGCAGGGTAGAGGAACTTGCAGCTGCCCTGGAGCGACATGCTGCTGGGGGGAAAGGCTCGTAGTCCCTGCTCTGGAGATCACAGTAGGGCCCCAGCAGGGGTAGTGTCCCAGGGCTAAAACTGTAACATCTCTTGCAAGCATTTGTCCTGTACGGGGCCAGCTGAACACCAGCAGCCTCGATGAGTGAATATGTTCCTAAATCATTGCTCAGCCAGCAGTTCACCTTCTGATGTTGGTGCCAGTGCCTCAGGAGCAATGGTGCACAGTCTGTATATACACACACAGGTATAACGTGGCCCCTGGTCGCCCCATGAAGCTCTCTGCTTGTATCCAGCAGGCAGAGGTACCTGCAGTTGTGCCTTCTCCACCTGGTATAGCAATGGCTTTGGTGCCCAAAACTGAATCCTCTTTTGCAGTGTGTGATAGAAAAGGTCAAATAGGAGATGGAGTAACTCTGAAACCCACTCCTCAGCTTCTTGTTTTCCAGCATCTGCACTGGGCAGATGGCTCTGGACTTTCCCTGGAGAAGTCTCTTTTGCACCAAGGAGAGACCACAGGGGCAGAAGGTTGTGTGTCCTGGGTGCTGTTGACTGAGAGCTGTCCCTGCTTTTATCCCTGGGAAAAGGCTCAGAGGGCAGCAGTGGCCCCACACAGAGCTCAGCTCAAGGGCTGCCTGCCCTGGTATGCTGCTCTCTGAGCTCCAGGCACACAGCAGGGCTGCTCCAGTGCTACGGCTGCTGTCCCCGGTGTTGCAGTGACAGCAGGGCAGGAGGCATGGCTGCCATTCCCAGTGCTTTTCTGCAGCAGTGGGTATGGTGGTCAGGGTATGGATGTGGCTGCCTAACACAGCAGGGCTCACTGAGGCAGGTTGGAAACCCTTCCCACCGAGTGGAGGGTGCAGGCTGAAACATTTCCACCCAGTAACTGCTCAGTGCCAGCACCAGGGGGACTAAGTCATTGCACAAGGTACCACAGCTCAGAGTGTCTCCAGCAGCAGTGCCTGACCTGCACAGAGGCTGGTGGAATCATTGTGTGGCATTAAAAAAACCCAAGCTTTCTTGATCTCAGACCTGCTGCTCAGGAACTGCTAAGAAATGTTGGCATCTCATCATCTGGTGCAGTCTGGGGCTACTGCTTGAACCAGTTGCTGTGACCCCAGGGATGCCAGCATCTTCAGGAGAGGAGCAAACTACACGGGTGGCTGGTCTCTGCTGAGCCCTGCATGGCTGTCCTTGTCCTGGGAGCGGTGCTGCTGCCTGATCTGCTCTGATGGGACAGGAGCCCTCTGTGTCTGAGTGTTTGCACACCACTGTGGCACCTGTCCTCAGGTCCTGGGGTCAGCAGATCCTGGGTGTAGCAAACTGCCTGGCTGTTTGAAAGATATTCTTGGGGAGGGGTAAAGTGATGGTTTCCTGCTGTACTGTGTGAATCTGCCCTTTCCTGGGGGTGTGCTCAGGTAAGTGTGTGTCCAGGCAGAGGCTGTCTGAGGCACCAGGTTCCTTGGAGGCTTCCTGGCTGCCTCTGCAGCACTGGGTTCATGCTGCCTGTCTGTGTGCCTTGCAGGCTCTGAAAAGGAAGCCGGATCTCTTCCTGTGTAGCAACCTGGATGTCAAAGCAGTGTTTCAGTGTGGTGAGTACCACGGGCATGGGCACGTGCTCCAGATCACCCTGAGGAGAAGCCAGCCTGCTCCTCCTTTGGAGCTGTGTGCAAAACAGCCAAGGGTTGGGGACCACAGGGCTGCTTTGGGATGGCCAGGGGGTTTTCTGGCTGCTAACCTGAGTAATTTTTGCCTGCAGGTGTCCTTTCACTGAAGTTTCCAGAGGCCCCAACAGTCAAAGCATCCTGTGGTTTTTTTGTGAGTATGATGCCATTGTGGAATCGTTTGAGAGCTGGGAGTGGGGCTGAGGTTGGGCAGGGTGCTGCAGTGTGGAGCCTGTGCTGGCACTGAGCAAGCCTGGCCCCTGTGTTGCAGACGGAGCTGCTGCCCCGCTGTGGAGAGATCGCCCCGGTGGGACAGGTCGTGCATGAGAATGGCAAAGCGCTGCTGCAGGCAGTGCTGGAGGTGAGAGATGCTGGACCACGGGCTCCCCAGGCAGCATTGGGATCTATTCCCGAGCAGCATCCCTACAGAGCCAGGGGCAGAGAGCCCAGCAGCGTGGGTGGGAGCAGGGAGAGTGACAGCGTGGGCTCAGCATGTTGTTTGCTCCGTGGCAGGGCATCGGTGGCCAGGCTTCCCGCAGCCTCATGGATCACTTTGCAGAAATCCTCTTTGCCTTGAACAAGCACTGTTTCAGCCTCCTGAGCGTCTGGATCAAGGAGGCCATGCAGCAGGATGGCTTCCCCTCGGCCCGAGTAACTCCGGAGCAGAAGGAAAACTTCAGCCAGCAGATCCTCAGGTTTGCATGCCACTTGCCCTGGCAGCTGTGCCCCACACTTCCCACGGGAATGACTCCCCTGCATGGCCCAGTGCAGCCATCCTACTTCATGTTTGTCCCCTCCCTGTGTCTCAGCAGAGAGCGTGTGAACAAGCGGCGAGTGAAGGAGATGGTGAAGGAGTTCACCTTGTTGTGCCGAGGGCTGCATGGTACAGAATACACAGCAGACTACTGAGCACCTGGCCAGGACCGCGGACGATTTGCCTGGACCAGCTCTTCCCCACAAGGAAAAGCCCCCCCATCCTCCCTGCCCTGCTGCAGTACGGCTCATAGAATAACCCTCCACCTAGAATTAACCCACTCGGGACGCTCCTCAGCTAGATTTGGTGGCCGCATCTCGGTGTCAGCATCTTTGTTTCCCCCAGCATGCTCCCTCCTCGCAGGGAACAGGAGTGCTGGCTGCAGGAGGTGGTGGCGGGGCAGGGGAAGCCTGGGCAGAACTGCCCCAGCACAGGCTGCCCCATCCCCGGGCTACCAGCCCCTCCCCAGCCCTTCCCTGCAGCAGGGAGGCCACCCTGTGCCTGCAGCAGTGGCTGGCTGGGCGGGGGGGGTTTGCCCCCTGCTCGTTTGTACGTGTGGTTGGGAGGGGGGAGGCCCTGCACCTAATTATATTAAGAATATTTCTATGTTGTGGCTGTCATTATTGCAGTGCCCAGACTTTGCCTGCCTCTTCCCTCTGGGGAAGAATGGAGTGGAGGGAGTTAAATCAAGGCTGGGACACCCCAGTGTCTCCTTAGCTTTGGGAGGGATGGCAAAAAACAGTCTGTCCTGCTTGCCCAGCATGGAGCATAAATAGTCCTGCCTCACATGAGAGGGGCCGGGCTCCACCCCTGCCAAACACGGGGTCCTTCCTGCAGCACAGGGTGTGTGTACTCCATTCATAAGAGCAGCTAAGGGGCTTGTTCATGCTTGGAGTTCCCCTGCCCTTGCCCTAGTACTTCAGCCCAGCCTGTGCTTTTACTGTCAGAGGTCCTAGTTCTGGTTTTCTGTTCCCTCCAGGTGGTGATAGCTGACACACAGGGCTTTGCTCTCCAGTGGGCACGATGATACGTTTTTCACTTTGGGACATCTGTGCTCCTCAGCCCATGTTTTATTCTAAGAAAACAGTTCTTTCACAAATCCTCTTCAGCTTTAGTTAGCAGCAGTAGTCCACAAAAGCCCCAAGTCCCAGCACTGTTAGCTCTTGCAAAGTTGTGACCTTTCCAGGTAGGGACAAAGCTGCCCTGGATGAGGAGCCCTCGGAGACAGGGTCTGGGCCAAGTGCCTGTCTCTCCTGGCCCTGCTGCTGGCCTGGCCATGAGCCTCAGGGTGCCCCAGGCATTCCTGAACACACAATTCCTGCTCTCACTGCAGTATTACTGACCCAAGGCCACATCCAGCAAGGTGCCAGCTGGCAGCAGGTCCAACACCCAGTGGGAGGCAATGCCCCACACAGCCCCGCTCCTGGCTGGGTGCCAGTGCTGCTGAATCAGGGTTGCTCACACCCTTCATCCTCATAGGAAATGGCAATCCCTCGTCGGCCCTGCACAGCCTTGGAGACGGGAGTCTGTCCCAGCTGCTGTTCCAGGCCCCGCCAGCTGCGGGACTCCAGGAAGGAGGCTGGGAGGAGAAAGGGAATTGTTACCCAGAGCAAGAAGGTGCCACTGCCCCTGCACCAGGGCTCAGCCCGCCATGAAACCAACACAAACCTGCAGGGCTGATCTCTGCCAGCGCCCGTGTCTGGTCCCTGCAGGCCAGGGCGGTGCTGGGGGGCTGCTGAGAGGTCGGGGGGCCACAGAGGTGGGTAGCACGCATCTTCCCTGAGATCAGCGAGACATCAGGAACAGCCTCCGCTGCAGGAACAGCCGGCGGGAGCTCAACATGCGCACAGGCCCCTGCCAGGGAACAGTAACGTTAGCCTGGTCCATCTACCCTGAGCACAGCTTACAGGCAGGGCAGCTGGGTGGAACATGGCCTGGGAGGGCAGCTGTCTCTAGCTATTACCTGGCAGCAGGTCTCGGAAGTCTGTGAGGTAGTTCCCCGTCCACTCACGGGCTGGGTTGCAGGCCAGCTCCAGCTCATAGGGGGTCACAACAGGTCGGTAGAAGTCACTGGAGTCCAGGAGGGAGTTCTGAGCACAGGCCACCAGGACGAAGATGTCCACCTCCAGGAAGTTGGCCAGCTTGGCAGGGTTGGGCTTCCCCACAGCCAGCGTGTAGCTGCGCTTGCCGGCCCGGCACAGCAGCTCCCGGAGGTGCTGCAGCACGGTCAGGTAGCCCGCCACGCCAAGGGTGCCCACCAGGATGCCCACCACACCGGCATCCCGGGCCCGCTCCACCAGGTACAGGCGGCGCATCAGGGCCCGGTTGACGTTGAGGGTCTCACGGCGGCCGCAGCCGGTGATGGGGTTGAAGGAGCTGAAAGGGCAGCAGTTCCAGGTCAGCATGAAGCTGGTGAGGGCAAGGCCCTCAGCTCCCACATAGAACATGGCATAGTCCTGAAGCCCTCCTGCAGCTTTCACCAAGAACTGACGACCAAACTTCCGTTCCTCACCAGGAACGGCGGGGCCAGGAGGGTCTCCACACACCAACCTGGAGAAGATGATATTGGGGTATTCGGGACATAATTGCTGCTCCAGCTCACCTAAATAAAGAGAGAAGTGAGAACAAAACTTGGCCGTAGTCCTGACACAGAGAAGGTGCAACAGATCAGGGGACAAGAGAAAAATCAAAGCTGCCAATGTCTGGGGAATGAATGCCTGCTTGGCCTGACCTTGGCAGCTCTGCAGAGCTCAGAGCAGTACCAGAGCTCCCCTCCCTGCCCCAGAGCACTCACCCATTGCATGGGCGTAGACCACATCGCTGAGCACCACCACACAGCTCTGCTGCTCGGGGTAGAGCTCCCGGAACGCCTCTGCGCAGCGCCCGACGTCCAGGGGCTGCTGGCCGAAGATGTGCAGCACCGGGAGCTTCCTGCAGGGGCTGAGGCAGGCTGGGCCGTAGTGCAGCACTGCCTCGGCACCCACGTGCTCGGCAGCCACTTCATCCACGCAGCAGCTGCGAGGAGAACCCGGTGTCAGACAGGCTCCGCAGCACGGAGCTTTCCCCCCTCCCCGGCACCGCCCCACTGCTGCCGCAGGGGATGCCCAGGACAGCCCCACACCGACCTGCCGTACGTGGTGTCTCCTAACACGTACATGGCGGCCCCGGTCGCTGCCTCCAGCCGGCCTGCCACCCCCGCTGCGTCTGCCAGGAGCTCGTCAGGGAACTGCAGGGCGACCTGGCGGGATCAAGGGGTGAGGCAGACGGGAATGAGGCGCTGGGGAGCATGAGATGAAGGGGATAGAATGGATAGAATATACCCTCAGCAAGTTTGCTGATAGGAAACTGGGGGGAGTGGCTGAAAGGCTGTGCCATTCAGCAGGACCTTGATAGGCTGCAGAATTAAGCAGAGAGAAACCTAATGAGGATCAACAAGGGCAGGTGTAGGGTACTGCACTGGGAGAGGAATAACTCCAAATACCAGCACAGACTGGGACTGACCTACTAGAAAGCAATTCTGCAGGTAAGGACCTGGGACCTGGAATCTTGGTGGGTGACAAGCTGACCACGAACTGGCAGGGGCCTTACAGCCAGGAGGGCCAATGGGATCCTAGAGTACATTGGTAAGAGTGTAGCCAGCAGGTTGAGAGTGATCCTGCCCTTCTATTGCCCCTGGTGAGGCACATCAGGAGTACTGTCTCCAGTTCTGGGCTCCTCAGTATAAGAAAGACAAGGAACTACTGCAGAAGGTCCAGCAGAGGCCACATGGGGGTCTGGAGCATCTCTCTTGTGAGGAGAGATCCTTTAGTCTGGACAAGAGAAGACTGAGAGGAGATCTGCTGTGGTTTAGGAATGATACTCCCCAATTCAGTGCTCCCTCTGAGCCTCTCCAAACCACGCTGCCACTCACTTGCTCTCCCCTCCCCTTCCTCCTGCTGTGGGATGGAGCAGAGAATCAGAGGCACAAAGGGTAAAAATCATAGATCAAGATCAGAGCAGTTTACTGGAAACAGCAACTTAAATAAGCAAATCAACAGTAACAGCAACACTATTAATAACCATGTACAAGAGAAAAATGATTCACACGAGTGCTCCATGCAGGGCCCTGACAATACCTGACTGTGCCACACGACGGGACCCAGGAATGACCCCTTCCCTGTCCCCAGAAAGTGATGGGAAGTGGTACAGAGTAACCTCTGGGTCGTGGCCATGCCTCCTCCTGGCTATTGCAGAAATTAACCCTCTCCTGCCTGGAACGAGGACAGGATCTCATTAATGCCAATAAATATCTCAAAGGTGGGTGCCAAGAGGACAGTGCCAGACTCTTTTCAGTGGAGCCCAGCAACAGGACAAAGGAAGGAGCAATGGCCATAAATCAAGACAAAAGAAGTCTCACGTTAACACGAGGAACGAGTTCCTTACACTGTGGCTGGCAGAGCGCTGGAACAGCTGCCCAGGGAAGTCGTGGAGTCTCCATCACTGGAGACATTGCAAAGGCATCTGGGCGCGTTGCTGTGCAGCTGCTCTGGTGACCCAGCCTTGGCAGGGGGCTGGAGTGGATGACCTCCAGATCAGCCCCCAGCGCTGACAATCCTGTGAGGCACCGGGAGAGGGGGCGGTGCGCCGGCTCCACCCTCGGTCCCATTTACCTTGCGGAACCCTCCATCCCGTACGAAGGCGGCGGCCCGGCCCATCTCGTAGAAGCCGTCGAGGTCGCTCCGCGGTGCGGCCGCCGAGGCCGGGTGCAGCTCCCGCCGCAGCGCGGCCTCCCCATCGCTGCTGAAGGCCGCGGCCATGGCGGCACGCGGCGCGCGGCGCCCGCTTCCGGGCTGCGGCGCCGCGCTGGCCAATGGGAGCGCGGCTCTGCCTTCCCGCCCCCAGAGATCCCGCCCATAACGGGGTGGAGCGAGGGCAGCAGCCAATGGAAATACGTGCTGGTCGCGGTGCATTATGGAGTATGTAGTTTTCCCGCCGCTGTCAAACCAGGCAGCCAATCAGCGGGCGCGGTGGCGGCGGTGGCGTTCCGGTGCTTCCGCCTGGGCGCTGCAGTTCCGGTCAGGTGCCGCGCGGGTCAGGTGGCCCGGCCCGATCCGCTCCCGCCGCCGGTGCCGCCGCCGCCGCCATGACGGGGCTCGCCCTGCTCTACTCGGGGCTCGGCCTCGCCTTCTGGACCACACTGCTTGGCGTCGGTCAGCGCCGGGCCGGGGCGGGGCGCGGGGCCGCGGAGGAGGGGGGTCCGGGTGCTGCGCGGCGGGGGTGAGCCGTGGGACAGCAGAGGTTACCGGGCCCGGGGGGATGCTGCGGTTCACGCTTGTGCCCGTGCTGGCTGCTCCTGTGCTGCAGAGCGCTGGGAGGGTGTGGAGAAGGGAGCTGAGCGTTGAGGGCCGCGGTGCTCCGTGGTGCCCGGCACGACCGGGTGCGCTGCTGTGGGGCTCCCCGGGCGGGCAGCGGCTCCCTCAGAGCCCCGGCGGCGCCGTGTCACTCCCGGTCGCTGTTGGGAGCAGCTTTCAGCGCTCTGAGCCTGTGTGGCTTGAGCAGTTTGCTTCTGTGTGTGTGCGAGGGCAGGACGGTGCTGGTGCCCGTCAGGGGTTTGGTAAGGCAGGGGCAGCCTGGTCCTTCAGACTCTGCTGGTTGATGTCTCTCGGCTGGAGAGATGGTCTTGCTTTGACAGAACATGCAAGTTTGGGTGGTGGTGGGGCTGCTGCTTGGCCGTGTTGCAGCTCGTGGCAGCCCATGCACTGCCGCTGAAGGTGTTGGGCTTTTGGAGGATGGATTTAATGCCCGAGGGCCAGCAGGTAGATTTTGTGCTGGGACTGGTGGTTATTTTCTCTTAGCACAGAATGAAGTGGCCACAAACCAGGCAGAGGCTGGGGAAGCCTTGGCCATTGATTCAGTGTTTGGGTGAGCGGAGAGAATGAGTCGGGAGGGAAGGGTGTCTCACTCCCTCGTGTTTCCAGGGCCTGGTGAACCCACTGTGGGCCTAGGGCTGCCTCACTGGGCTCTCTGAGTCATGAAATTTACACAAGTGCAGCTTCACCCCTCTGGAGGTGAGACTGTTGGAAAATCTTGCTGAGCTGAGCGCAGTTACTCTTAACTTCCCCTGCCCTGTTGCAGTCCCTTTTTGAGGAAGACCACAAGCAGGAAGTGGTCTTACTCCATGCAGTGTTGCAGCAGTGTCTCTTTGTGTTTTCTGTCTTTGTCCTAAGCCCTGATTTGATCCTCCAGTCCTGCTGCCCTATCTTCTGTCCTTCTGGCTTCAGGGCTGCAAGTCAGAGCTCACAGGAGAGTGTCCTTTACCCTGTTTCTTTTGCATATGAATCTAAGGTTACACCTGCACTTGAAGAGATGAAGGGTGGCCTGAGGACCTGCCCTGAGCTGGTTGTAGCTCTCTTTTACCACTTCTGGGGAGTGGAGGCAGCTGAGGCTGGCTGGGGTCAGTTCCTACTCTGACAGCCAAGCAGCAAAGCCAAAACACAAGTAACAGAGTGGCTGGACCGAGCACTAGAGATCATCCTTGAAGGTTGCCAGAAACACAGGCTGGGCCGTGGCTTTCTTCTGTATTCCCTGGCTGTGGTGGCACCATTCTTCATTCTTGTGTGTCGCTACAGGGGAGGGGAGCACCCCAAATCTGTGGCAGAAAGAGTGTTCAGCATTACCACCTCCCATAAATTTATGGGACTCACTGGCTTGCCTGACAGGGCTTGTGTGCTCCCCTGAGGGTGCTGAATGGGGTGCTCAGACCTGAGCTGTACGTGGAGGAGTGAGTACACAAGAATAATGGGGACATCCCTGCTGCAAGGGATCTGCAGTGCTGAGGCCTTCCAGTGGGATGAATTCCCTGGCTGTGCTCAGGGAAGGCCATGGTCCTGGCCCCATATTCCTGCTGGGCTGATTGCCATCACCCCCTACTTCCAGGCTGCTGCTCTGGGGTGGAAGGGAGCAGTGGGACACATCCTGAAGAGTGACCTCTTTGCTGCATTTGAGCATTTCACACATCTCCCATTTCCTCTTTTCCCAACTGTATGTGGGATCAGCATGACACAGGCACTGACTGGTTATGGTGTGATATAACCAGAGCTGGTAGAGCTGTCCCTTCACCCTCTGCCTGGCGTGGAGCACACAGTGCCATGATGCCTGTGCTTATCAGTTCCTTAGGGCTGGGTCACCCTCCATTTTCCAGCAAAGAGCAAGTGTCTCTTCTGGTCTGTAGCCATGTTTCCCACTCAGGAGCTCAGAGTAAGGCAGGGTTTTGGTGCAAGCACCTCTGCATGTGCCTGGGCTGTGCGGGAATGTGACTCTTGGCTGTGGTTCCTGGTGGGAGATAAGCACAGCAGGGCAAGCCCTCCTTGGAAAGGAAGGGCTTTTCTGAGTTTCTCAGGACAATGCTTTGGTGTCTCCCACTTGTGTTGGAGCATAAATTTATCTGGAAATTACCCTAGGGGAGATGCTGAAAACAACAGTCATGTCTTGGACCCAACAGCCTTGGAGAGGGGGTGTTGGAGGAAAGCTGGAGCTTCTCGTGTTGATGGGCTCCAGGGAACCAACACAAATGCTGATGGGATGGTGATGTAGCAGCAATGGTCAGTCAGGGCACAGCCTTGCTCCTCTTGTCCCTCCTGTGCCAGGGAGGAGCTCAGAGCTGGTCCCCTGGGGCTGTGGCTGTCCAGCAGGGCTGAGCCTTTGCAGAGCCACAGTGGATGCCGTGCTGGGGCACAGGGCTGTGGATTGTCCTCTAGACCCTGTAGCTCAGCATGGTCTGTGGCTGCTCAGCAGGGCCAGGGAATAGAAAATGGGTGTGACAACAACCATGATCATCTTCTGGGCAAGACTGGGATGGGGGCTGTCAGTATCTCAGACCCAGGCTGTTTGTCCTGTGCTGATGTGGGAGTGTTGGGATCATGAGGGCAGGATTTGGAGGGGACACCCTGCCCCAAGCTCTGCATGCTTGAGCCAGTCTTCCCAGTAACCCTCCTTCATGCTGTGCTGTGCTCCTGGGCCTTTGCCTCGAGGCTTAGCAGGTTGGGGAGGAGCTGGCAGTGCCTCCCTGGAGGTTTCCATCTTGTTCTTGCTTTCCAGGGATCTGCTACACAATATTTGACCTGGGCTTCCGCTTCGATGTGGCGTGGTGAGTTCCCTGTAAACTCGGGCATCCTCAGGGCTGAGTGAGGAGGCAGGTGGTGCTGGCAGTGCCTCCCAGGAGCAGCACTTGCTTTTGAGTGATGGGCAGCGGTCACTGCCTCGCAGGAGAACAAGAGCTACAGTGAGCAGGGCCTCTGCTCTCTGGGAGGTGGGATGGATGCAGCCCCTGTGTTCCTGTGGCTGGCTCCATACGAGGTCCTGGTGCAGCTGTTGCTGCTCTGCCCTCCACATTTCCAAGCCCAGGCTTCTGCTTCACAGTGAGGGTTTGGGAAGAAGATCTAGATCCATGCAGTTGGGGGTCTTGTGTCTCTGGCTGGCAGACGTAGGTTCTCATGTCTCACTGTCTGGCTGCCCAACCCATCTTGGGCTTCATAATTTGGTGGAGGGGTACCTGTTTTGGGTTAGGCTGTGTGGTGTGACTATGGGGGCTCAGCCTCTGTGCTAACTCAGGACATTTCTTCCTCTCCAGGTTTCTGACGGAGACCTCACCCTACATGTGGTGCAACCTGGGCATTGGCTTGGCCATCTCCCTGTCTGTGGTGGGAGCTGCCTGGTGAGTGGGACTGGCTCTTTAGCATTCTCCTGCTGTTCCACCTTGGTAGCTGTGTGTACACTGCAGTTTTCCCGCAGCACAGCAGGGTAGAACAATGCATACATGTAGGATTGTGGGTCACCACACCAGTGGGGCTGAATGCTGGGGGGTCTGAGTGGACCAGCCCACAGACAGCAGTGGCAAGACAGGGAAGTCTCTGGAAGCTGTGCCCCTGAGCCTGGCTGTCCATGGTGGCTCTTTTGCCCCAGCAGTTCTGCCGGTGTAGGTGGTGCAGCCTGGGGCCGCTCATACCCCAAGAGTGACTAGGCTGAGTGCTCAGTGTCCCCCAGCTGCATGCCTGATTCTTTGCTCAGCTGAAAGATCCTGGTTTCTGTATAGAATTCTGCAAGTGCCAGACTTCACCAACCACCCTTGTCTGCTACAGGGGGATTTACATCACAGGCTCCAGCATCATTGGTGGTGGAGTCAAAGCCCCGCGGATCAAAACGAAGAATCTGGTGAGGTAAGCACAGACCTGGGGTTAGTTCTTGTGCTGCACCTGAGTGGGGCAGGTGACAACCCAGTGAAGACTTCTGTCTGCTCTGTAGCTGGGTGCTGCTGGCAGACTGTTCCTTGTTGAGCTGCTGATGCTGTTTGTTTTCAAAACAAAGAGCACTAAAGGAGCCAGAGTGCTGCTTTGAAGGGTCACTGTGTGATATCATGCTGTGAATGAGCCCAGTGTGTTCAAAACAAACACCCCGAGATCACACATCCTGCCTAGGCAAGGGTTCTCCTTGTACAACCCTTCCATAAGGAGCAGAAACAGGCTGGTGAAGGACAAGGCTTCCTAGGCCTGCTTCCAACAGGATCCTTGCAGCCTACTCAGGTGCCACAGCAGAACCAGCATCCAGCAGTTGTGTTTTGGCAGCTCCCCCTGGCTTGAAAGTAAAGCAGTGGGTAGCTTCC